GTGAGCATAATAGAAAATCTGTCTGTCAAAGTCGATCGTGAAGTACCTCGTGGGCGTCGCTCAGGCTCGATTCGGTACACAAACCACTCGGGCTGCGGGCGCAACACAAACTTGCACAGCACACAGACGCTGCACAAGCTCTGCATCTTTTACGGGTTTCCGCCACCTTTCGCAGCTCTGTTCTAGGAATGCCAACTGACGCGTTGGTCTCTTGGGAAGGACCCTGTCACCTGTTGATGGCATCTGCGGCATTGCGGCCATGCTCGTTCAACTTGGGACCCCCTAGCCTGTGGATTCCTGTAGCTCGTACAGCTTCTCAAAGCCGCAGAAAGAAGCTAAATGATCATGTCGTCATCGCCACCATCTTCTTCGATGCTGGCCAACTCACGCTTCTCTCTTTCTCGCTTCTCCTCAGGGTCTTCTGCATCCTGCACTTGAAACATGCTGCAACAATGCAGAGAATGGGGCAAACAGGAGAGGAGCACCCGCCTTGTTGTCATTCTCATCCGGGTATGCCATGGCTTTTACTGCATCATTGTGCATCTGCAGGCAGAAGGCGATGCGCTTGTGCAGAGCCTGGCAGCTCGAAGGATGGATTCGTGTACCTCCGCCTCGGACAGTCTCCTATGCCTTTAAAGGGTGGCCTTCTGCGGCTCGCAGGAGTGGTACAAGTCTATCTTCTGGTTGGACTTCACAAACTGCTTGTCGTAATCGATCGTCGCCTGATTCGGGCGGGCTTCTCAAGTGTTTTGCCTGACCGTTCGGAGCTTTAATTTCAGCTAGGGTACCGCATGTGCAGAATCCGAAAGCCATAAGCAACGTCACAAAAGCAGGGCGCACGTCAATCACTCCGTCCACGACAGCTTTGGCCACAACGCCCGCAGCCTTGCCAGCAAGGTCGACAGCAAGACCTGCAGCCCTGCGTTGCACCACGAAGTCCCGAGGTGCGAGCATCTTCTGTGGACTCCAGGCCAAGCTTGGTGCAGATGTCCTACGAGCATCGCAGAAGTATCGCCCTGTAGCCCTCTCACGCAAGCCCTAAAATCACAACTGCTTAAAGTCCTGCAGAGAGATCCTGCTATAAGCCAGGCTGATGCTTCGCAAGCCCGTTTTGATGACCTGAGTCGTCACCGGACCAACGAACCGAATAACCGTCATTCAGCGCCGCGCTTGCGTAGGCAGACAGGTCTCTGAGGACGATATCAATCTCACTGGGGTCTGGGCATTGTATCTCAACCGATTGATTAAGGTCAGCGTCTTGTCCTGTTTTGCAAGGAGGCAGATTGAGAGTTCAATTCCCTCCCCCCAAGTACTAGGCCCCAAGTCTTCAAAACAGAGCTCTACGACAACCACCCCCTAACTTGTTCTGAGTACACCCTCAGAAGGTCTCAATTACTGCTCCAGATCGGTTTTGAAGGAAAGCTTGGGGTAGCTGTGTGCTCACGGCACCTCGCCTTCTTGAACAGCGCCTCATAGGTCTTGGTGCACTCCTTGAACCTGACCCACGACTTGATGCGGGCATGGCTCCGCGCGCGCATGTGTGTGTGTCTATGTCCTCGAAAGGCGTATCGACCCACTATCCCAAGTACACACTGCTGGCCCTACCGCCTTGAGTCAATCCGTGCTACGCGAGGGTTGCTACCACGTCTATCGCTCCAAAGGATCCGAAGGATCAGTGTCAAGGAAAACATACATACATCGGCATGTGCGTACATCGGCACATGTAGACATGTATGTCTGTATGCATGCACATGGACTGTTATGTGCAGGTGCACATGAAGGTCTCTTAGGCCAAGGGTTGGGTATTGCTCATGGTTTCGGATAGTATTGGGGCCGGGTCTTCACCATCTACTACTATTTGCTTAAGAACCCAAAAAGAATACAAAAACAATAATCCCTATATTGATCTTAATAGGGAAGAAACTTTTCTTTTTTTCGGGGTTCTTAAACAATTAGTAGTCTATGGGTTAACCTTAATAAGGAAATAAGGAAAATATTATATTTTCTCGGTGTTCTTAAACAGCTAGTGGTCTATGGATACTATACTCCCCTTAGAACCTTAATGAAAAATTCTCTATATCCTCTTGGGTTTTACATCAACAAAAATACAAAATAATTCTCAAGGGGGATACAGATTCGTAGTCTATGGATACAGGCCAGGCAGCGCGTGCAGGTCGCCGGAGCGGACGGCTTGCGTGGCAGCCTTGGCACCATCGAAGCAACGCTGCTTTCATCGCTTATGGTTTAGGGTTTAGGGTTTAGGGTTTAGGGTTTAGGGTTTAGGGTTTAAGGTTTAGGGAACCCCCCCGAAAGTTCCTGGGCTCCCAACGTAGTATGGCCGAAGATGCTCCTTGAGCTCCTCAACGTCAAGATAGCGAGATCTGGGCATTTCCCACAAATAGGGGTATCCCTTTTATGCCCCAAATAGAACAGAATCCTCTTAAAGGGATGAGAAGGGTACCCCTATTTTCGGAACCCCCTCCCCCCCATGTCACATGCCCCACACCAAGCAAGGCGGAATTCATGGTCCTTCTGCGTAAAGAAGGACCGCTCAGGAACCCCACCCATGAGCAGCTCTACCTGTGCGAGGCTGCTGATTCCTCCCCGAAGGTTGGGTATCGTCTTCCGCACCCGAAGAGCAGCTGAGGCTACTGCGACTATGGCCAACTTGCTCGCCGCCAGCCTCGGCTTGGAAACGCACCCTCAAAACCTATAGCCCGAAAGTCCTGAAGCCCAGAAAAGTCCAACTGAGACATGGGCTTGAAGCCCAAAGCCACTTCAGGGGTCTGCGGCGCTTTTCGAATTGCTTGCATCAGCTTGGAGTGTGAGTCCGAGTACCTACCGGGGCTGTCGCAGCGTTCTGGTGCAAACATGAAAGCACCGATTCTCGGTCGCGAACTCAAGCTGAACTGCTTTGATCTGCCCGATGTAGAAGAGATATCGGGCGTACCTCTGGTCAAGACCAACTACTTTGAGGTTCATGGTACTTATTACCAATTATAACTGTACTTATAACCCACTTAGAAGCGCCTTAAGTGCCCTTGTAAAGTACAGTTGTTGGGTTAATAAGCACCCTGAACCTCTAACTACTGCATCAGAGGCGACGGGCCAGACTCTGAGAATCCAGCTGCATGTTCGGGCGGCTCTCTGGAAAGCTGGTCTTGGACACCAGCTTCAACGCCTCTCCAAGTGCTGTTTGTATGGCAGCCGGTTTAGGGTTTAGGGTTTAGGGAGTCTAGGGTTTAGGGGTTAGGGTTTGGGGTTTAGGGTTTAGGGTTTGGGGTTTAGGGTTTAGGGTTTGGGGTTTAGGGTTTAGGGTTTAGGGTTTAGGGTTAAGGGTTTAGGGTTTAGGGTTTAGGGGGGCCCCCCCCAAATTGGATTCCGGACTTTGCGAGCTCAGCCTGGTCGTAGAGGTTGTATGCCAGGTAGTTCCGCAACAGCAGGTTCAACAGCGTTGCCTCCCAGAGCATTCATTCCTAGACCTGAATGGAAGCAACCATGCAGAGGAAAGGCCTGCCCCATCTGATCATGCCGGAGGCATGCCTGCGCACGCAACGCGCAAGGGAAACAACAAGCCGCCCGCACCTACTGACAGCCCGACACTGCGGTAGGCAGCAAGAAGCTCTGGACGGATCCTTAGCTCATCTCCGCTCTTCGCATCGGGATGTTGATGTGCCAGACTGATTCTGGGGACTCGGGGAGCACATTGACGGATCATCTGGGGTCGTGGCTCAGACAGCCGTCCACATCTTTCGTACGCAAGCGACAGGTAGAAGTACCTGCAGCAACGGCATGGTACCTGCAGCATGTTGCCTTGCCGCGCATTTTTTGGAGCACGCTCTCGCACTGAAGAGATCCAGCGTACGGCGGTTAAGCCTGAGAAGGCGAACGAAGTTGGGCACGGCTTAGGGTTTTAGACCGCGGCACTTCTCCAGGCTCCCGGCGTCTTCAACCAGAGCACCATGGCACTCACCACGTCCATGGCCTGCTCAGTGCAATTAGGGGTAGTTACCGGTGTTGGGGATTCCTGGAATCAGGAGTGCTGCCTTTTGGGGCTTACTCGACGTGGGCTACTCTCCGGGGCCTTCTGCTTGTCGTCTCGCTTGTCTGAGAGCTTCACTACCAATATGAGGACGGCATATGCCTCGGCTCTCAGGCCCGGAACCACTCCCCGAAGGTGAGAAAGCATCTGGGGGTCCGCGCTTCGAGCTCAGGGGCATAGGGCTTGCTAAGCTGGGGAAACTTGATTTCGACCTCCTGCAAGATGGCACGAGAGCGGCAGTAGCTCGTGCACTCAATCATCTCCATGTGGGCCTTGGCTACGCCTTTCTCTGCATCGGTCATTTCCACATCTGCTGGTGGCACCGCAGCAATGTAGCTGGCCTGCATGGGGCTCTGCCCTGCGCTTGCACACCAAGAACGAGGCTTCGGCTGAGTGTTTGTTGGCGACATGTGGCGAATGCTCGCGGCACGCCCCTCTTTTCTCGCTTCAACCGATGCGCTCATCCTCCGCAGTCTCCTCAACGCCCCTCACACATGTGCGAGGGTCCAGGCTATGCCTTCCCTAGGAACTGCAGCCTCAGCCATCCGAAGCACCGCATGAGAAAACGAAAGCTTGAAACCTCCATCTTTAGCCTTACGGCAATTGAGGAGTAGTTAGGCTAGTTAGGGTGGGGGTGGGGAGGGGATCTATGTCACAGGATGCCAGACTTCTGAGCTACGAGTTTATGGGTTCAGGGTCCAAATCTCCAAGGCTGGAACATGTGGGGCACGCTCGTGAACTTGGCAGCCGCTTTTCCCATCTCCTGTCCGCGCCGAAGCTCCTGCGGGTGTGTCGGTCGTTGATGCAACTTCGAAGATGTTTGGGGCCCGAGTCATGATCATTCTGCACCCAAAAAGGGGCCATTATTTGGAGCAACCCACATAGTGTGCTCGTGATTGTTGGTATGATGACGCTTATGAAGAACTAGGCGATAAGGCCAGCCTTCATAGGAGAACGGTTAACGTTACCCTGACACCCAAAAAATCCCTAAACCCCATACCCTGAACCCTAAGCCCTAAACCCCAAACCCTCAACCCTACCACCCTCAAACCCAAAACCAGCGCGTCCTCGGCCTCAAGCGTCTGCCAGTCGCGGAACTCAACGACACGTGCGCCTGGAGCGCTTTTTGCGCAGCGCCGCTGATGCTGATGTAGGGAGCTATCCCCAAAAAGAGGGTTTGGGGTTTAGGGTTTAAGGTTTAGGGTTTAGGGTTTAGGCCGTAGGGCGTAGGGTGTAGGGTGTAGGGTGTAGGGCTAAATGGTACCCCTATGTGGGGAGAAAGCCCCGCATGAAGCAGATGAACCCGCCTGATGCTCCGAGGGCTTCCAGCAATGGATCAGCCGGCCATGCCTTCAGAGTGTCCAGCGCCCTAAACCCGAAACCCGAAACCCTAAACTCATGGGAACCCACGCTGGCTCGACCACCCTGCCTTCGCTGGCTTGCCCTGAGCATCCATCACTATCTTCGACGCAGTCTCCTGCACAAACAGCACCCAGCTCTGACGATGGGGACGCTTCAGCGAAGAGGCCAACCCTAAACCCCAACCCCTAAACCCTAAACCCTACACCCCTAAACCCCTAAACCCAAAACCCTGAAACCCAACCCCGAAACCCCAACCCCTAAACCCGAAACCCCTTCTGCCAGCCCTGACATGCTCCTGGGCATCGCCGATGTTTGAGGCGATGATGCCTGCGCCAGGTGAGAGCCAAACTTTCGGGTTTCGTTCTTCACTTCCACAGCTCCTCGGGTTTAGGGTTTAGGGTTTAGGGTTAGAGCTTTCGGGTTGAGAGTTTAGGGTTGAGGGTTTAGGGTTTACGGGTTTAGGATTCGCCTAGTGAGCTCGGTACTGCCCCAAACCAACCCCAAAGCCGCCTCTCAAGGTGGCGCCCAGCCAGCCAGCCCAAATTTAGGGGTTTGGGGGTTTAGGTAAACCCCTAAATCCCCCCCCTACATCCCACGGTTCAAAACTGTACTTAGGAGCCCCTGTCCTCTTTTTTGGGGTTTAAGTAAACCCCTAGATTCCCACTTGGAGGTTCCCCGAGGTCCTCTAAATAGGTTGTAAGGTACACTTAGGGGTTATAAAGTATGCTAAACCCTCAACCCTATACCCTATACCCTCATACCCTGTACCGACCTAAACAAGCAAGTGCACACTGCCACCCCCCGAATGGCCTTGAGGGCCACGCTTCACCCATCCGGACACGTAGAGCCCGCCCTGGCTTTCGGCGGGTGGCTCCACCTGGGGGGGGGGGGGGGTGGGGAACAGGCGAGCTGGTTTGGAAGCCTTAGGTTGATAACTTTTTTTGGGCGGGGGAGGGGGGGGGGGAAGGGGTTTGAGTGGTTTGAGTGGTTTGAGTGGCTTGAAAGGTCTCCCCTGTTTTGGGGGACAACGGGGGTTGGGGGTAACTTCAGGGCATGAGGGCTGCTGAGTGCCTGTACCACGCAGCGAAATCCAAAAAGATGCCTTCCGGAATGCAGCTGTCAAGCTTGGGACCCGACACACCCGTTGACGTGAGGAACTCTGTTGCGGTCGCTCAGCGGTAGCCCCTGCACTCCGGACACTCGATGGCAACCGCCGGTCAGGAACAACGTCCTGCCTCGAAAGGCGTGATGTCGAAGCCTACACTCCTCACCACCAAGCCGCAAGCCTGCCGATGACAAGAACATGCTGTAGGGGCCTTAGTAGTTAGAATAGGGCTTTGGGAGGGTTACTACTAGTAAAAGCAGAAAGGGACCATAAGGGCACGCTACTAGTAATTCTTCTTCCGAGCCCTATTCTCGGCTTGCAAGGTGTTCCACATTGCAGGGTGCCCACCAGATCGAGGGCCGGCAGCTCACTTGGCACGGCCACCTGACGGAATCAACGGCAAGAAGGGTCTGGGATCCGGGATCTCATGCGACCCCTTCAGAGCAATCATTGGAACTGTTCTTACTATTATTGCTACTACTCTTACTGCTCATAGTACATTACATAAATCTTGGTCTCATTACTAGTATCATTATTACTGTTATGATTATTATTATTATTATTGTTGTGACTTTTCTTGCTAGGTCCACCTGGCCTGCTTTCCAGGCTCTCCTTGCGGGGCAAGTCACTTGCAAAACTAGGGTTATCTTGTCGGAATGGCTGTAATGTGAAAGGCTGCAATTTGGCCTATGTCGAACAAGATTCAGAAAAGTGAGTTGCGCTTGTTCTCTCGGACTTAGGGTTTCGGTTTAGTGTGAGGGTCACCTCAGATTGGCCACACCTACTCAACATGGACTTTCTTGCAATAATTGCTGGCATTTTGGAAGGGACAACTGTGTACGGAAGGCGGCTGCAGGCGTGCAAGACCCAGCTCTCGTTGGATGTTAGTCAGCCTACCCACTGCGTCTCTCATAAGAACCTACAAAGAACTGCAACCCCGACCAAGGTTTCCCTAAACCCTGAACCCTCAACCCTGAACCCTGAACCCTGAACCCTGAACCCTGAACCCTGAACCCTGAACCCTGAACCCTAAACCCTAAACCCTAAACCCTAAACCCTAAACCCTAAACCTAGACTTGGGGTTCATAGGACCAAGGCCGTGGGCCCTAAAGCGCTCCTTGCAGGGCCGTGCGGCCCAAACGAAGACCCCGCACGGTGCCCGACTCTGACAGAACCTTCGCGCTGGTTGCGTGTGTCTTCTTTGTTCGCTGGGTCTAGGGTTTAGGGTTTAGGGTTTAGGGTTTAGGGTTTAGGGTGCAGGGTGTAGGGTTTAGGGTTTAGGGTTTAGGGTTTGGGGTTTGGGTTTGGGGTTTGGGGTTGACGGTTTAGGGTTTAGGGTTTAGGATTTTAGGGTTTGGAGTTTATAGGGTTGAGAGTTTTTAGGGTTCAGGGTTTAGGAGGGGTGTCAAGGTTTCGGGTTGGGGGAGCACAAAAAACAGAATCGAGGAGGCAGATGTTCCAGGATTCTCGTCGGGCTGGACTTTGGATATGGGCTAGGGGGCAGCAAATCCAGCCTCCACCGGCGATCGCAAGAAGTGGATCTGGAGTACGCGCTTGCTTGTGGTCGAGCCTCAGACGATGAAGTGCCTACCGAAATTCTGGTATCTTGCTGCTTCGAGGTCCCGTCGTTGCTCGAAGTTGGCGGCCATCTTATCCAAGATCTCCTGGAAGGAGATTCGGATCCCCAAGGCTCAGCGAGCGCACACGGCCCTAAACCCTAAACCCTAAACCCTAAACCCGAAACCCGAAACCCGAAACCCTAAACCCTAAACCCTAAACACCGTCTCTTGCAAGGAGGCGCTCCAGGGACCGCTTCTTCATGCGGCTCTTGGACAACTCCTGCCAAGGCAAAGCTGGGGCGCACGCAGGGATGGCACTTGGGACGTTCCCCCTTCCACTAGCAGTCCTTAAGAGGGACGATAATATGGAGGGGCGGGGGGGAGGTACTATAATCCCTTTTTTAAGGAGCTGTAGGGGGGGGGGAGGTACTATAATCCCTTCTTTGAGGAGCTGGCTAGTAGTCTAAGGGGGAACATCCCAAGATGGCACCAGGATCTTGCGCGGCAAGCTCCTCCTCTGAGGCCGGGTTGCGGCACATCCTCACTGCACCGGCCCGATGGCACGCTGGCGCTGCTTGCAATTGCTGCTCATCGCTGCTGATCATAAGACTATATAAGACTATAATAATTTATACTATATATGAACATTTTATATACTAAAATACTATTATACACTATAGGCCATAATACGAAAATACTCAAACAACTCGGCTCTGACTCTATCGCCAAGGCAGCAGCTGCAGTTCCTCTGGATCGACGACGGGCAGGACCTGCCACTTGCCGTCGGCCCAGTCTGGGCCGGTTTATTAGGGTCCATAGGGTTCAGGGGTTGAGGGGTTGAGGGGTTTATAGAGGTTTATGGAGGTTTATAGGGGTTCGTAGCGTTTGTATAGGGGTTTATCACCGAGCATCCCCCCTGCCTCCTCGCTGCACGTGAGCAGCTCGCGCAGCTCGGCGTTCGTGAAGGCCGCTTGGACAAAGCCGCGGCGGCCTAAGAGCCAAGTGACATGGCCACTTCCCTGTACATTAGGGCTCTTGCTGGAAACACTACATTATAAAGTTTAGGGTTTAGGGTTAATGTTGAGGGTTGAGGGTTGAGGGTTGAGGGTTTAGGGTTTAGGGTTTAGGGTTCAGGGTTCAGGGTTCAGGGTTTTGGGTTTAGGGTTTAGGGTTTAGGGTCACTTCTCTGAAACAAGACACTCTTATAAGGCGACCCCCTAGTATTTAGGGTACAGTACCCCAAAAGGGACGACCGAGCCTCTCATGCATCACCTAAACCCTGAACCCTCAACCCTAAACCCTAAACCCTGAAACCTAAACCCTGAACCCTAAACCCTAAACCCCAAACCCTAAACCAAGCTCAGGCCCCCTCCGACCACATGGACGGCCCGGAGACCGGCAGCCTGCCAAGCAGCGATCTGCTCCACGGCCGAGGCCTTAAATGTGGCGACTTCTTGGTGTCCTTATTAGGGTTTAGGGTTTAGGGTTTACGGTTTAGGGTTTGGGGTTTAGGGTTAGGGTTTAGGGGTAGGTCCTTATTATAAGGGAATCCTACTACTTGGGGGCTGTATTAGGGGTACCTTGTTTTCGTAAACCCCCATATTCTGCGGGCCTTACCTGGTAGCACTGGCACATGCGGTCTGGGACCGGCACTTGCATATCTGTTGCCTGAAGCTCTTTCGGAGATCGCACCAGCAGTCGCGCCTCACGCTGTCCAAGATGTCACACTTGCCCTTCCAGAATGTCGACAGCTGACTTCTACCTGAGGGCCGTGCCGCGTCCAGCGCCACATTTCCCTGCCCCACAACCTCGCGTGTCATGCAAGATTATAGACAAAGGCCGACAGAACGCCTTCCAAGCTCTGAACGACAGCAGCTTCGCCGGCTGCTGGGACCTGGCGCTGGAAGACACAGCCTGGTGACTCAGGCGAGCACTGACGCGCAGGGCCTTCAGATTCTGGTAGTCCGGATGTCCTGCCATGACTTGCCATGGCAAGATGCAGATGGAAGCAGGATAATCCCTTCCCCAAAACAGACCAAAAACAGCTTTCAGTTCTTTTACTTCGAACATCCCCTCCTTGCTTCTCCTTAAAAAGGAAAGAGCGCAAATAAGATGTTCAAACAAAGACCGATTCAAATACGCCTTCTTAGTTTTTTTGCTTGCATTGGGGTTGGGCACTCCAGGGAGTCTCTGGGCTGGGCACTCCAGGAGTCTCTGGAATTGGGCACTCAAGGGAGTCTCTGGGTTGGGAGCTCCCGGGAGTTCTGGGGTTGGGCAGGGAGTTTCTGGGGTTTGGTGATTCAGGCAGTCTCTGTGGGCACTCCGGGAATTTCTGAAGTTGGGCACTCCAGCGTCTCCAGGGTGTCTGGGGTTGGGCACTACTCCAGGAAGTGTCTAAGTTGGGCACTTCAGAGAGTCTCCGTGGTTTGGGCTGGGCCACTCTGGGATTGGTGGAATTGGGCACCGCAGGGAGGGGTTGGGCGCTGTTGGGCACTCCAGACAGAGTCTGCAATTTTGGGTTTGGGCACGCCAGGGAGAATCTGGGGTTGGGCACTCCAGCAATCTCTGAGTTGGGCACTCCAAGAAAGACTGGGGTTGGGCACTGTAGGGAGACTCTGAGGTTGGGCACTCCAGGAGTCTCTGCGGCAGGTGGGCACTCTAGGGTTGGGCACTCCAGGGAGTCTGGCGTTGGGCATCTGAGGGAGTTTCTGGAGTTGGGCACTCCAGGGAGTCTCTTGGAGTAGACCGGGCGAGGAGAAGAGTTCCGGGCAAGGAGAAGAGTTCCGGGCGAGGAGAAGAGTTGAGTTTAAAATCTAACAACCCCACACCGAAGGTGGGTAAAAGAAAAACACGCGGGCTGCGCCGTTGTACCACTTGACGAAGGCCGGTGCACCCAGGACCCCTTCGGAGTCTTCACCTCTTGGGCATGGAGGCTTTTCGGAGGTCTCGGGGGGGTTTCGGGGTTTAGGATTGAGGGGTTTGGGGTTGGGGTTTTGGGGTTTAGGGTTTAGGGTTCAAGGGGTTTAGGGTCATCACCTAAACTCTAACCCCTAAACCCTAAACCCTAAACCCTAAACCCTAAACCCGCTGCCACCAGGGCAAAGCACAGCGAAGGGTGCCTGGGATGCCGAGCCGCCTCTCACCGCTGGCGCCAGTGCCTTGACAGGGACTTGGGTTTGGGGGTTTGGGGGGTTTGGGGTTTGGGGGGTTTAGGGTTTAGGGTTTAGGGTTAAGGGTTTAGGGTTTAGGGTTTAGGGTTTAGGGTTTAGGGTTTAGGGTTTAGGGTTTAGGGTTTAGGGTTTAGGGTTTAGGGTTTAGGGTTTAGGGGTTGGGGGGGGGGTTTAGGGATTTGGGGGTTTGGGGGATCGGGGGGTTTGGGGGTTTGGGGGCTTGGGGGCTTGGGGGCTTGGGGGGCTTGGGGGCTTGGGGGCTTGAGGGTTTGGGAGTTTAGGGTTCAGGGTTTCGGCATCCAGGATTTAGAGGGCGAGATTGTATGAAGTAGTTGAGCAGCGACACACGGGCCGCGCAGGGCAGCGAGCCGAATAGAATTGCACAAGTGCACATCAGTTCCAAAAACTGTGTCAGCCTAGACCCTAACAATAGCAAAACCAGCCAAGAGCAGTCCAGATCAAAGCACCATCTGCTGGCATTTGACGGAGTCATCAACAGGACCATCGTTCCAGCACGACTGCCATCGTCATCCTCATGGCCATCACCATAACATCGTTATCAAAATTCAGGATCATTGCGATGGCCATGATGATGATTTACAGAATCATGATCATGAGCGTCATCATTGCAGTTACAATTGCAATTCTGACCATTCTTGTGATTACTCTTTGCTTATCATTACGTATGGCTTATTCTGCACCGAGTCCCAGGCACAGCACCACGGCATCGTACATGCTGCGCAGGGCCGGCAAAGACAAAGCGCCGCTGCCAACCTGCACGTTTGGGTTTAGGATTTTAGGGTTCTGTGCAGTCGGGGTACATGCCTCTCGGCCTCAACATTGCCAAAGAAACGGAAGTTCGGCGTCTGGGCAACAGCCGTAAAGTCGTTGATCACGTTCTTGACCTCCCAGAATGCCCACATAAGAAGAAGGAGAACACAAGTATTTCTGATAAACTAAGTCTCTGATAAACAGTCGTGACTGCCACTGACAAAACAAGCACACAAGAAACAAATAGCGACAACACCTGCGGCACAGGAAAACCCTAAACCCTAAACCCTAAACCCTAAACCCTAAACCCTAAACCATTTTCAGAGCTCGGTGCTGGCCTCCGGGTGGTCCGGAGCGACGCCGAAGCGCACGAGCCCGAAGGGAGTGGGCAGCCGCTCCAACCTGAGCCCATGTTCAGGGCTTAGAGGGGTTTAGGGCGCTTAGGGTTTAGGGTTTAGGGTTTAGGGTTTAGGGTTTAGGGTTTAGGGTTTAGGGTTTAGGGTTTAGGGTTTAGGGTTGAGGGTTGAGGGTTGAGGGGTTGCGGGGTTGCGGGGTTGCGGGGTTGCGGGGTTGCGGGGTTGAGGGTTGTTCCCACTGATACTAACAGTCCTTAAAGTGGGGATTATAATTGGGGGGTACTATAGTCCCGATTAAGGACTGTTGGTAGACAAAGAAACATCCCAAGTTGAGGGTTTCGTGAGCCCAGTGACATGTCGATCTGCAACGGGCCCTCTACCTGGCGGCCAGTGGCACGTCGGATTAACCGAGCAAAGACTGGGCCGAGGTAAACACCGACAAGGGGGGGCCTTCTTGAAGAGGTACTTGGACGTGTAGAAACCTGCAGGGCCGCTTCCAACAACCTCGGACTTGATGATTTAGGGTTTGGGGGGTTTAAGGTTCAGGGGGTTTAGGGGGTTTAGGGGGTTTAGGGGGTTTAGGGGGTTTAGGGGGTTTAGGGGGTTTGGGGGGTTAAGGGGGTTTAGGGGGTTTAGGGGGTTTAGGGGGGTTTAGGGGGGTTTAGGGGGGTTTAGGGGGTTTAGGGGGTTTAGGGGGTTTAGGGGGTTTAGAGTTTACGGCCCATAAACTTTACGGGGTGTAGGTCTGGACTCAGGACCGGACCGCGACGTGAAGGTCTCTGCGTCCCCTTTGAAGCTCTTTGGCTCGCCCTGGCACTCTGGAGAAAATGCCCCTAAAACCCTAAACCCTTAACCCTAAAACCCTAAAACCCTAAAACCCTACAACCCCAAAACCCTAAAACCCTAAAACCCTCCCACCCTAAAACCCGAAAACCCCAAAACCCTAAAACCCTAAAGCCCTAAAACCCTGAAAACCTAAAGCCCTAAAACCCTAAAACCCTAAAACCCTACCACCCTAAAACCCGAAAACCCCAAAACCCTAAAACCCTAAAGCCCTAAAACCCTGAAAACCTAAAGCCCTAAAACCCTAAAACCCTGAACCCTAAAACCCTAAAGCTCCCCCTCGGCTCCCCGCATCGCGCAGCGTGCCGAAACGGCCTCCAAGCCAGTGGAGGCAAGGCGAGTGGGTTAACGTTTGAGGGTTTGAGGGTTTTAGGGTTTTGGGGTTTTAGGGTTTTAGGGTTTTAGGGTTTTAGGGTTTTAGGTTTTAGGGTTTTAGGGTTTTAGGGTTTTAGGGTTTTAGGGATTTAGGGTTTTAGGGTTTTAGGGTTTTAGGGTTTTAGGGTTTTAGGGTTTTAGGGTTTTAGGGGTTTAGGGGGTGTAAGGGGTGGTAGAAGGGGGGTTGATAATGGGCAAAAAGAAGGGTAAAAATGGGGGCAGAATGGGGTTGTGGGCTTTGGCTCCCTCTACCTGAGCCCTGAACGCTAAACCCTAAACCCTGAACCCTGACCCTAACTAAACCCTAAACCCTAAGCCCTAAGCCCTAAACCCCAAACCCCAAACCCTGAACCCGAAACCCCGACACCCTAAACCCTTGAACTCGGCCTGAAAAAGCAGCGCGCCGGTGTAGACAGGGCCATGGCCAAGACCGGGGGGCACAGAGCGCGCGCCCAAACCCCTGAAAGTTACCCGTTAATGTCCCTGCCTTAGCTGGGTTGGCCCTCGTACTCCCATGAAAATGATTCCCAATCTATGGGTACTCTTAACCCCAAGAAGGGTGAATATCGAATGTTCCAATGTCTTAGCTACGGAGGATGTAAGGGGTCATACCTTTCCCCTAAACCCTAAACCCTAAACCCTAAACCCACTGCAAAGTTTCGGGGTCTGGGGGTGGCAAGTTCTGAACCCTGCGGTGCGACAAGAGCCGCGGATCTTCAGCGGGGTTTCCGACTGGCAGCTACATCTCCAGGCAAGGTTTAGGGCTAGGGCTTAGGGTTTAGGGTTTGGGGTTTAGGGTTTAGGGTTTAGGGTTTAGGGTTTAGGGTTTAGGGTTTAGGGTTTAGGGTTTAGGGTTTAGGGTTTAGGGTTTAGGGTTTAGGGTTTGGGAGTTAGGGTGCAGGCTTCTGCTGGGCACGTGTCGGTTTCATGGCTGTCGAAAAACGCGGCCGGCAAAGACGTAACGAAGCGACCACAAGCAGCTGCAGATAATCCACCCCGGAAGCCCCAAATACGCAAAAACAGTACCTGATGGATCCCTCTACTTTGATTTCCCGAAACACCCCAAACCCTGCAAGGTCCCCCCGCTGGTTTCCCCGGGGGGGGATGCAGGCCTCAACCGCAAGCCTTACTTGGAGGTTCATGGTACTTCTTAACTTATTAACCCAAAAAAACTGTATACTTGTAACACAATTAGGGCACTTAAGGGGCTCCTAGGTACAGTTGTAATTGGGTACATAAGTACCATGAACCTCCCAAGTCCCAAGTACACATGCAGCCCAGGCCTTGCTAGGCCGGCTTGCATCTACGAATTCCTCCAGCAGGGCCTTCAAGACCTGGCGGCTTACGAGTGTAGGGGGTTTAGGGTTTAGGGTTTAGGGTTCAGGGTCTAGGGTTTAGGGTTTAGGGTTTAGGCAGTTTAGGGTTTAGGGTTAGGGTTTAGGGTCTAGGGTATAGGGTTTAGGCTTGAGGGTCTTTGCTATCTTTGATAGAGGGCCACATGAGTGGGTACCCGAAGGGCCCAAAGGCCCTAAATAAACCCTAAATCCTAAACCCTGAACCCTAAACCCCAAGCCTTAACCCTAAACCCCAAACCCTAAACCCTGAACCCCTAAACCTTGAATCCCAAGTGAGCAAGCCTCGCCTCGGGTTCCATGGTTCGGCGCAGGTTCGCAAAGGAGCGCAGCACGCGTCCCATCACCCGGGGGTCCCCAGCCGACACCCCCTCGGCGAGACAAGGGGTTTGGGGTTTGGGGTTTAGGGTTTAGGGCTTCGGGTTTCGGGTTTCGGGTTCAAGAAACCCGGGCTGAGCCCTAAACCCCTGCAATGATTGGGCCTGTTTTGGGGTGGTACATGTATTCCCTTCCTGGTTCGGGTGGCTCAGAGAGGACCGATAGTTGAAAAGCTGGGGACGAACTGGAAGAGGCCTTGCACGAGAGAGAGAGAGAGAGAGAGAGAGAGAGAGAGAGAGAGAGAAAGAGAGAGAGCGAGAGCGAGCTGGGGAGGTTTTAGGGAGTTTAGGGAGCTTAGGGCCTCATCTCCAGAACTATGAGCCCGGGTGCTGTAATCTGTCATTGAGCGGTAGGTTGTGGACATGAAAAAAAAACAACAGCCTCTCAACCCTCAACCCTAAACCCTAGACCCTAAATCCCTAACCACATACCCTAGATCCCAATGCGCGGTTATAGCCAAGCTCCACGCCGCTGAAATGGTCTTCAGATTCTGGCTGATTGCTTCCAGGAGCAGCGTCCTGTAGGGTTTTGGGTTTAGGGTTAGGGTTATGGTTAGGGCTAGCTAGAGAGAGAGGGAGAGAGAGAGAGAGAGAGAGAGAGAGAGAGAGAGACAGACAGACAGACAGACAGACAGACAGACAGACAGACAGACAGACAGACAGACAGACAGACAGACAGACAGACAGACAGACAGACACAGACAGACAGACACAGACAGACAGACAGACAGACAGACAGACAGACAGACAGACGGAGAGAGAGAGAGAGAGAGGGAGACAGAGAGAGAGAGAGACAGAGGGAGAGAGACCGAGACAGACATAGACAGAGACAGGGCAAAGGCAGAGGCAGAGACAGAGACAGGGAGGCGGAAAAAGAAGCTCAGTGGTCCTGGGATCTTTGGGCTTCTCTGGCTCTTTCTTGGCATCCTGCTAGATGCAACATCGGATGATGTCAGTGGGCTCTTGTCACCAGGTTGCAAAATCGACCATTCGGATTGAGGGCTTTTACGGTTTTAGGTGTTCGTTTTGGGCATTGGGGCTCGGATGGGTTTGGGGGGGTCTAAGCTTAGGGTTCAAGGTCGGGGGGGCCTTCTTGTCTTCCTTACCTGCCTCCTTCGCATCCTTCATTTCAACATCTTTCGACTCAGCGTCCTTCTTTGCCTGCGACGAGAGGATCAGGAACACTGCTGCAGGCGTCACGGCTCTCTCCACTGCCTCTTCTGGCATGTTCGCTCGCACGCCGTAGCCTCGACAGTCATGCCAGCATTTTCAGATGTGTCCTTCTGTGGTGCTGGTACTGACTGATGTTTCGCACGGAAAGGCAGGAACGATGTGGCAATGGCCGGTCAAGGATCGTCACTTGAGCCAAACAGCGCAAAAGATATCCCAAAGATGCAGGTGAGATTCGTTGACCTCGCGGGCCCAATTCCTACTTCAAGGCAGCTACAGTACTTGGAGGTTCAGGGTACTTATTAACCCAAATATAGCTGTGCTTATAACCCATTTATAACCCTGTTAGGGTACTTCAGGGGCTTATAGTTAACAGGTGCCATGAACTTCCAAGTATGCTCGCTGCACATATGTCACTCGTCTACCGGCGGCCCGGCAGCAGCGAAAGCTTTTCATGTCCCGGACATCGAACACCACACGCGCATTGGGAGCACATACAAGTTACAAACGCCAAACACACCTTCCAGAGCCCAATGACGACCGCAATCTGAGGACCTACAGCTATGTTGTGGTCCATTTCTTCGGTTCCATTCACGGTACTTATAGGGAACGGCCCCTCGACCATGAAACCTACATTCTAAAACCACCCTTACCATGAGATCGGTGAAACCATGCAACAGGGAGTTTGGCTTAGCCAGAAGCTCCCAAACATGGGCATGGGCACGTTGTCAGGCTCAGAGTTTGGGGTTTGGGTGGCTTGGGGTTTAGGATTTAGGGCTTAGGGCTTAGGGCTTAGGGCTTAGGGCTTAGGGCTTAGGGTTTAGGGCTTAGGGTTTAGGGTTTAGGGTTTAGGGTTTAGGGTTTAGGGTTTAGGGTTTAGGGTTTAGGGTTTAGGGTTTAGGGTTTAGGGTTTAGGGCACATGTGGGGCTTGGGGGGGCTGTAATACCCCGAACCCCCTTCATGCGGCTTAGGAAGCTTAGGGCTCAGGAGGGCTTACGAGGCGCTCTCACTCGAGAATGGCCCGCCTCGCATGGCATCCGCAAGCTCTGCCTACCCTAAACCCTAAACCCTAAACCCTAAACCCTACACCCTAAACCCGAAACCCTAAACCCTAAACCCTAAACCCTAAACCCTAAACCGTGGCCCCTACGGGTTCCTAGCAGGGAGTCAGGTGGCGAGCGCCTCGCTGGCCGCGGGCCTTTCACGGCACGCACCCAGCGCCGGAACCTCGTGTAGGGTTGAGGCTTCAGGGTCACTTTAGCCACTAAAAAATGAGGACTCTACAAGAGAAGCCATACCCTTACATACAGCGTAGAGACGGCTGAAGTCCGAAACCCTCAGACACAAAGAACGAATATGAAACCCTGAACCCGAGACAAGCACCCCTCCGTAACTGTAAAAGCGAAGGTATTCGCTTAGACCTCGATGCGGACTTTTGGTCCCTATCCCGAGAGTCTTGGGGCGGTCTTTCGGTCTGCGACCAGGAATGCCCTCAGGGCCTCCTGCTCGCGGCCTGTGTTCTGTACGAACAGCGCGACTCACGGGCGGGTGTGGTGGGAAAAGCTGAAAATGCTGACCACACGCTCGGGCCTCTGATGCTGCAACTGTAAAAAGCGAAAGTGCGAGCTGAAGCGGACTGCAGTACGAACGAAACTGTGCACTACGTACTGCTTGTCACTCTTTGCACACGTGCAAAACACGACAAGCACCCCTCCGTAACTGTAAAAGCGAAGGCATTCGCTTAGACCTCGATGCGGACTTTTGGTCCCTATCCCGAGAGTCTTGGGGCGGTCTTTCGGTCTGCGACCAGGAATGCCCTCAGGGCCTCCTGCTCGCGGCCTGTGTTCTGTACGAACAGCGCGACTCACTCCACTCACGCGCGCTGTTCCCCACTCCCTGCGCGCCCAAGTGCTCGGCGAACTTGACGAACTTGGGAAAGAGAGCCGATTAAAGTTGGGGAGTTTTCGGAACCACTTGTACGCCTTGGAGAAGTCAAACTTCGCGAACTTGCACTCGAGCTCTGCTGCCGCAGACCAGTCGTCTCGAGAGACTCCGTCAGACACGTTGGCAGCCGAAGTGACTCTGTGGAACGACAGTACTAAACCTTTTGCTGCCATGTGGCGAGCGAAGCAACCTAGCACCTTGGTGAAAGCTATGTCTCGCGAAAAGCCCTTCTGCAGCGCGTGCTCTGCTGCTGAGTTGTCAACGAAACAAAGCACGTGTCCTTGGATGCCCTCTGCGATCGTGAGCACCGCTAGAACCTGGGCCATCATCTCCAGCCAGAAGATGAACGCCTTAGAAGTCGCTGTTTTTCTCAAAACCTCATTAGGCACTTCTGACCGGAAAGCCAATCTGCGACCTGATGGCGGAAGAAAGATGGCTCCCCATCCGTTCGAACTCTCTTGCAGAACATCATGAGGGATGCCCTGTTTGAGCCACCGGTTCGCTGCCCTTCGCGAACCTGCTATGTTTATGTATGCGTCCGCATACAAGACACACACTTGCACATCTTGGGGTCTCAACGGAATGCGAACAGGCTTCAGTTCTGGGAGCAACTTCTGCAGTTCTTTCAATGCAGACCGAAGTGACGAGCTCAAACTCGTAGGCTTGTGAATGCCCGACTGCTGGCGAGCGAACAAAGGCTTCAAAAGTGCTGTCCCTGCTTGGCCGAAAACCCAAGAGCACGTAAAGTTCAACTTTCCCGCCAGCTTTGCGACCTCCTGTGGTGAGAGGGCGTCGGCGGCCAGGACTTCCTTGATCCGGGCGACCAGCTTCTCGATCCTGCTCGGGCCCGGTGACGCCAGAAGCTCGTCATCTGAGATGGTCCACTCCACCCCTAGAAGCGTCTGTTTGCGATCGGGGGGCTTGGCTTTGGCTTCCTTCATCTTGGTGCCAATAATTCTGCGCAGCTTCTGAAAGGAGGCGAACGCAGGCTTTGATGTCTTCGCCGACTCGAACTTGTAAAAGTCGTCGACAAAGTGAGCTGCGGCCAACATGAGGAGCGAGATTGACAGAAAGCACACTGCATCAGCGAACCTGATGTAGCTCCACACCGACCCCGAGGATCCGAACGGAAGGACTCGGTGTAGCCAGATTCTCTCGTCGCCCTCTTCTGGCAAAACTGTGGCGCACTCCAGCGGAGAGCGAACTGGGAAGTTCCGGTAGGCGCCCTCGTGGTCGACGGCTGAAAGTTCTGGGGAACTGCTTCTGGCCACCCGCCGAATGCCCGAAATGATCGTCGGGGTTCCTTGGTACGGCGGAGTGTCGCCTGCCCATACTGTCGCGTTATGGCCACTTCGGAGCCAGTCGTCGGCTCGTCGAACTTTGGGACCTTGGACCACTGGGAAAGCCTTTGCTGCAAACACACGGTGTGACTTGGCCTGGGACTCTAGCCACTGCGCCGAGAAGGGGCCCGCGAACCTAGACTTCTGTGCTTCCTCGAGGAGCTCGGCCTTCATGGTAGCCGAATGCTCGTCCTCCTTTTTGGACGCCAGCAACCTCACAACATGCGCCATGTTGAAAGACTGAAACTGCGCAGGCGACCATGGGCTCGAGTACTTGTTGTCCTGTCGCAGGTGCCACGAGCTTCCCGGCGGCAGCGGTCCTAAGAGCCTAAAACCCCAAAACAAGTCTGCGACCAGGTTTTCCCACTCTGGAAAATCTAAGAGCTGGAGCAGGTGAGCGAACGCGAGCAACTGAACCACGAACTTCGGCGTACCTTGTTTGTAAACTTGCTGAACGTGTTCGGGGGCCTGAGACAGCCACTCGTCCTGGTCTTCTCGAAGCTCCTCGACAAGGGACTGGACGTCGTCGACCACTGTCTCGCGCCACTGAACGACTTTTCCCCCCATTCTCTCCTGCTGCTCGATTGCGAACTCGAGGCATGGGTTCAGGTTGATCGGGAAAGCCTGTTCCCATGACAGGGACGTAGACGTAGACCATCTCACGTGCTCCTTCTCGTCGTGAAGAGGGCCTTGCAGTTGGAAGGCCTGAGGCTCGTTAGGGTCCCACTGGCGACCAAAACGTCTCCACCACGAACACGCCCTCAGAAGTGGCCTCGAACCGTCGGGGTGGAACTTGAGCTCGAACACAGGGAACGGCTTCTCTTCGTACCAGACGTGTGGCTCCTGAGTTTTGACCTTTACAACCTGAGCTGTGAGCAAGACAACGAACAGGATGAAACGGCTTGTCGGCAAGTGCCAAGAGTTCCCCAGTTGCGTACACCTGGCTCTCTCCGGGACTGCCTTTGTGTATCCCGGCGGGTAGTCGTGGAGGAACTCCCGGACTGCAGCAGACGGTGGCGCGACCTTCCCTTTCTCCTCGACTAAGGCGTAGTCCCTGTACTGCCACGGGGCGTACTGCTGGTTGTCGGCTCTCCACCTCGAAAGAGTCTGCGGGGATTCGTCCCGCTTCCTTTTCGGAGGCGGCGGGCGTCCTTCTGGGGTTGGCGCGGGTGTAGTCAAGCAAGGGAAGCGCACCGAACCTCTCTCTACCTTCTCGTTGAACTTGGCGAACTTGCACTCTGCAGCGACCTGGCGGGGAAAACGAGAGCTCGCAGGAACCAACTCCCACTGTCTATTCCATCTTCTCCACCTGGCCATTCCCGATGCCGCCTCGGGCGGAGCAGTAGCCTCGGCTTCGGGCGGTGACAAACTCGAGCACCACCACAAGCGCGGCCGGCTGACCAGGCCGAACGAAGCTGCGTCGCACACAAAAGACCTCACTCCGACCAAGTCGTCGAGGGCGACCTGAGTGTCTTTGGCCATGGTGACGTTCTCCAGCAAGAGTGCAAACTTAAATCTACACATTTTCCGGAAAGGGTTGTACCAGTTGGTCACCCACTGAGCGAACTTCTGACCTTCCTCGCCCTTTGTACCAAGGGCCTTGTCGCCCTTGATCTGCGAAAAGTCTGGGCACGGAGGTGCGCAAGCGACCACCACGAACGTCTCTGGCGGGCACTGGTCCTTGAGAGCCTGGACCGCTTTGCGAGGGTCTGCGGACAGAGCGTCACCTTGCAGCACCACCCGGGGGTGCCTCTGTCGGACGACCTTGTTGCAGTCGGGGTCGACCTCCCACGACCAGGAAACCAGCGGCTCTATGCGAAGGTCAAGAAGCGACTGGTGTGCACTACCTATGCCGTCGAAGAAGGACAGCAGCGCGGCCTGTGTCGTGCAACTGTGAGGCTCTCCTGAGGCTTGCTTCTCAACTCGCTCTCTAGCGCTCGCTGCGGACTGAGCGGGTGCTGTAGGCGGCGAACTGCTCTGGACAGCTGGCGTGGTTAGGGCCGGGGCTAAACCGAACCTAGGGGGGACAACCGGGCGAGGCAGCGGTGCGGGCTGGTGCTCCACCGTCTTTGAACCGACGGAGCCTGTCGCTACCTGTAAGTTACCTCCCGGAGGGGAACTAGAACCGAGCCCAAGGGGTGGAGGTAAGGGTGGAAAAGGGTGCTTCCCGAGCGAACCTCTGTCGGGCGTCGCCCGATCTCGGGCATCGGGCGCCCCGCGTTGTCCCTAGGCCTGTGGCGGTACCGCCTGGGCCTGGCTGTGCTGTCCTCCGTGGCTCTGGTTGTGGCTGAACTTGCACGAGCTTCAGAACTTGCAGAACCCTGCTGCGAACAGTCTGCACGGGGGCCTCGTCTGGGAGACGTACGGAGCTATGTAGCGAAACTTGCCCTTGCCGTTGTTGGTGAAGTCCTTCGTCTTCCCTTTGCCGTCCGTATCCTTGCCTTTGCCTTTGCCCTCCTGGGGCATCCACCGAGCGAGGGCGTCGTGGCGCTCGGTGCTCGAGATGATCTTCTCTACGCCCTCCTGGAAAGAGCCGTCCGCTCGCATGTGCATTGCCAAATCCCAAGAGGTCTTGCGGTAGTACTCGCGAATCTGCGGGATTTTGTTCTGGTTGTCGCGGACCAGGTTAATGAAAAAGTCGATCAACTGGCCGATGACGAACTCTTCGCCCCACCTCGCGAAGACCATCGCCCAGCGAACTGACTCGAAGGCGTCGATGACTGTGAGGGCCTTCTGGGGCTCCGGGATCTTCTTGTGCCTCTGAACCAGCAAACCTGAGGCGTCCAGGCTCAAGGAGTCCGAGAACCTGTCCTCGGTTTTTGCCCAAGGGTTCACCTGGCGACTCGGAGTGAAGTTGCGGACAGAGATGATCTCTCCCAACTTGACGGGACTGAATAGGTGCGAGTGCTCCTTCTCGTAGACCATCCTTGCCAACGTCTCCTCTGCGCCGACCAAGAGGTGTACTGGGAAAGTGCGGTTGCGGCCCTCGATCTTCGCCTCCTCGAACTCTTTCACTCTCTTAGCCCAATAGCCTTTGGGCAACTGCTTGGGGGGTTTGGCGTCGTCGGCGACCGTGCTTGTCGACCCTGTGGCTGCAAGAGGGGTTGCCGCTGGAATCACTGCGGCCATCTGTGCTGCCCTGGCGAGTCCGATCTCATCCGCCATGTGCTCCAGGACTGCGATCGCGACCTCAAGGCCAACGTCGTCCAACTTTAGGTCGTCGGTGCCTACCTTGACTCCAACCAACAACGGGGCCAAAGTCTTGCGGATCTTGGCCCTGTCCTCGAACAAGTGGAACAGCACTCCCGAACTTGTCACTCCCTTGTCGCGGAGGAACAACAGCACCTGCTTGTCGAGGGCGGACGCGACCGCCAAGTTCTCGAGCAGCGGCAAGCCCGTCGGAGCGGCCATGTTCTCTTTGAGGCGAACTTACGAAAAACTTGCTTGAACCCTCATGGGAGGAACCACGTGAGCTCATGACTGAGGCAAAGGAAAAGGGGGCACTCACTGACCGCCCAGACCCTTTGTGACTTTCTCACGAACTCTCGCTGACCGACTCTTCGGACTCCTCGCTGGCCTCGGATTGCCGGCGCGGTCCTTGAACAATAGCCTGCTCTCCACCGACGTCTGGGAAACACTTAGCGCATTTTGCGAACCCTGGAAGCACTTCCACGTGCCTCAAATGGTTGCTCGACCCATAAAACCATCGGCCGCACAAAGAGATCCAGTCGAAACTAGGAAGGGTTTGCTCGCACTCCGAGGGCTTGTGTGCGACCTTCGTCCTAGTATTGTGTACGAAGACTGCTCTGCTCTGCCAACTCTCTGCGACCACTCTCCGCACTATGGATTCCACGGCTGCCTGGTTGACGGCTTGGGCAGGCACCTGGGATGACGACGAAGACGGCTGCTCTCCTGTCAAGGCGTGGCGGACTTGGTCAGCTGTTTTTCCCGGAACAAAAACTGACTCCTGCACGTAACGCAGGATGGCAAGGGAACCCCAGCGACCAATCACTTGAACCACTGCCAAGTGTATCCCTGCTCTTGCGAAAAGCTGAGCTCCGGCAACTCGGAAGCAATGTTGCGACCATTTTTCGAGCATGGCCGAACTCCATTCCGAGAGGGATTCCTTCTGGAGTGCGAACGCGCACGCTCGTGCTAGCTGAGTAAGCTGCCTCTGTGTCGGTGGACACGAACCTCTGCCAAAGAGCGGACGCTCTGGGTCGTACGATCCCTGCAACCTTTGTCTCACGACCAAAGCGAGCAAGCTGTGGAAAACGCACAGTGGGTGGCGACCTCTTCGGCAGCTGCACTTCTGCAAGCGAGTAAACATCACTGCAGGCGAACACTTGTCCGCACAGTTGTGCTCGTGTACAGGCCGACAGACACAAACATGTTTCCGAAAACAACCTTTTCCTTCAAGATCTGTCTTGGACGCCGGCAGGCGCACAGTGATCGACCGCTCCTCTCTGTTAAACCGAATGTCGGCGCCCTTGACGTTAGCGACCTCTATGCCGCGGAGCAAAAACCAAGTAGCTGAGATCGACGTGGCTGCGGGCTCGTCGACCCGCAAAGGAAGGCTCACTTCGAGGTCGTTGTAGGCCTGAAGCAGCCGCTCCTCGAAATCATCCTGTATGTTGTCGAACATAAGATCGACCTTAGCAGCCGCCGGTCCCATGCCCCTCGTAATGGAGCGAATGGCCTGCCCACGGGCCAGGTCTAACTGCTGGCTCCAATCCCAGCCGCCCTCCACGTGTTTGGCCTTAGCGACTGAGAAGTACTGCGCAGCAGATCTATAACGACCGGCCTTCATTAACGAACCGATGCCGTTGATACGCTCGACCGTCACAGGTAACGGGGGCAACTCTCGCTTCTTGGCCATAGCGGACCACGTCTGCCAACGACTCTCGCGCGGAGCCCTGGACGTTTTGGCGAACTTGTCCAACTCGAACTCACGATCCGCCTCGGACAAATCAAGCTCGACGACATTGTTGTTAGGTGTCCTAGCCAGGCCTATGCGTTGCAAGGACCCCCTGGCATAAGGATGCACCACCGGGATATCGCTGCGACCCGGTTTGCGAGCCTGCTGGAACTGCAACAACCTGTCCAGCGCAACATCTCCCATGATTTCCCGAAGCTGCGACCTTGGAACGTTTTCCAAGTCTCTTGCCGACTTGACTCCTTTCGCACTCAACTGGCCCAAAAACCCTGCGTTCTCGGTTGCTCTGAGAACTTCGACCAGACTTGCGAACAGGCTGCGATCCGACTCGCACGGAATATGCCACATGTCAGGAAAAGAAAGCGAACACACTTGAGGTGGCAGTACTGCCAAGCGCTGCGGCCGATTCCTTTCGACCCTGCTTGCCCTACGACTGGTGGCACTCGAAACATGCAAACTTTCTACCAGCGGACCTGTTCTTTCATGGGCAGTACTGCCCAAGCTAAGAGCACAACGACCTGGTAGCGACTTCCCTTGCGCAACCCTTGCTCTCGTCAAACACATACGGACGCACACCACACTGCACGTACCTTCTGACTTTTCCTCGCGCTGCCGACTAGCTCGTCGCCGCAACTAACCACATCCTGAGGACGATCGGTCAGCCACGGCACCTGCATGCCTTTTCTTGCAAAACTCGGCGCACCGCGACCAGCCGCATCCTAAGGACGATCAGTTGGCCACGGCCTCTGGGCACCTCGTCTACTTGCAGAATTTCTCGCACTCCAGCTTCAAGGCGATCAGGCTGGGGAACTTGGCATCCGAGCAGTAGTCATTGGCAAAGTTCGCCATGGCAATGAACCACTTCAGCCAGGCACGCTGGGTGATCGGCTGCCCACCTGCAGCCTTCCAGTCCTTCAAGGGAAAGACCCCCAGGACTTTGCGAGACATGCCGGGGATAAGCTCGGTCAGGTGGGTCTGTGGGTGCACCGCCGTCTCAAGGATCTTCTCCCAGAGCTCCTCGTCTGTCAGCGTGGACAGCTTGAGCCAATCCGCCTTGGCCTGGGCAAAACGGTTCATGACCTCCGCCGGTAGCACTTCACTGACGAGCGCCTGCCACTCCTCGCCTACCAGGATCTCGATCATCATGCCTGGCCCGTCCGCGTAGGGTCGGTAGTTGGTGCCACACAATGCAGACGAACGCTCCGCAGCCAAGCGCAGGCTCGCCTCGTCGCCGTACTTGGTGACCAAAGCCGCGTGGTCATCGGGGAAGATCTTCTGGAAGGACGTCCAATCGATGGCGCACTTGTACTTCCCAATGTACCTCCACAAAGCACTGGCAAAGTAGCACCCACAGTCGTTCCTGGCGTGCAGGTAGAAGATGCGCATGATGTCACGCCCTTCCCCATCGGCCTGGTTCTCCCAGAAGCCCTTGTCGCAGTGCGCCAAATACCCCGTGGGCCCAAGCAATCGCTTTCTGCGCTTTTCAGGATGATCACTGCAGGTGACGAACGTGTCGGCGGGGGGCATATCGTTGACGGACTCCAGCGCGGCCGTCGCCTCTTTCACCTGGTCCTCAAGAAGCTTTTTCTCGACGGACTGGGACTCCGTCAAGCTGCGGCCGGCCATCTTCATCACAAAGTCGTCCAGGGCCTTCTCCGCCTCCTCCAGACGGGCCTCCGCAGACTGGGCCAAATCCTCGCGCTCAGCCACAGCCGCCACCACCACACTGAAGTCCGAGAAGTACTGGAACACCGTGCTGGACATGAAGCCCCTGGCCAACGCCGTGTTGAGCTTCTTGTTGAAGAGCGACATCAGCTTGAGCTGCTTGGCCTTCTTGCGTTCCCCCAGGGTACGCCCTTCGAATCCTTCTCCTTCGGCTGCCTGCGCATTGATCTCAGTCAATGCCTCCTGGAAGACTTGCCCACGCGCCCGGTGCTTCTGGCGCTTCTGCTTCGCAATCTCTGCCTTCACCACCACGATCCACTCATCCTTCGTGCGGGCCTTCTCCTCGTCCTTGCCGGACTCCTGAATGTTCTTCATCCGCTGATTCACAATGCACAAGTAGCATCGCCACTCCGTCTCGGAGATCCGGCCGAACTCGGAGTGCACGTACTCCTGGTCGCATCCTTCGCACTGATACTGCTTCGGGGAGGCGGCCATACTACCGGAGGCGGGAGAAAAGCTGAAAATGCTGACCACACGCTCGGGCCTCTGATGCTGCAACTGCAAAAAGCGAAAGTGCGAGCTGAAGCGGACTGCAGTACGAACGAAACTGTGCACTACGTACTGCTTGTCACTCTTTGCACACGTGCAAAACACAACAAATGCCTGAAACCTCAAGCCCGACAACCTTGAACGACCCAAACCCAACATGAAACTCTGAAAGGACCCTCATCCCTGCAAAAGGGGCCTACAACTCCTGAAAAAGCCTAAAGCCTCAGAAGCGAAAGCACGCCTTAAAGCGTTCGAAAGCTCCCCCCATTAGGGGGTTAGGACCCCAAGAAGGTACCCCTAAACCCTAAACCCTAAACCCTTATAAGGACCCCAAGAAGGTACCCCCCAATTTCGGAAACCCCCATTAGGCTCCGGCCAGCAGCCCAGTCCAACCGCTCTGCCTGCCAAAAGTTGTTACAGTAAGGCTTAGGGCTTATTCTTAGTACGAAAAGGGTTATAAATATATATATATATATATACTTATACATACATATGTACATATATATATACACATATATACATATATGTATGTATATATATATATGTACATTACATGACAGTTTCTACAGCCACATACCTGCACATTCATCCATCATGCTCGGTAAGACAGGACAGAGCATACATTTACAAAACATTATGCTTCTCTCTTCGGTCAAACAGATTGGTGTTCTGTAGTGCGGTCGTGCTCCTGGCAAATGACTATGATTTGAATACGACGATCTTGAATGAGGATCCCGTCACGATCAAAACAAAGAATACTGGAACTGAGTTATCCACACACCCAAGCCCATTGAATCAACCGGGAAGCGGGCATTTTCATTGCTACTTGGAGGTTCATAGTACTTAATAACGAATTATAACTGTACTTACAACCCACTTATAAGCCCCTTAAGTGCCCCAATATGGTTATACCTGGGCTATCAGTGCAGCCATTATTGGGTGAATAAGCACCCTGAACCTCCAAGTAGTTGCTGAAATCTCCAGCTGCCTTCCGCCAGAGGCTTCGAACGCCTCAGGGCCATCACCTGAGACAGGTCCCGAAAACAAGGTTTAGGGTTTAGGGTTTAGGGTTTAGGGTTTAGGGTTTAGGGTTTAGGGTTTAGGGTTGAGGCTTTAGGGTTTAGGGTTCCGGGAAACGGCGCGAGCAACAAGGCTTGGGTGCGAGGTCAATGGCTGAGGCGGGCGCTCGAACCTCGTCCTCGTAGTAGCGAAGCCTGGATGCGCTCATGATAGGGGGGTTTACGATAATCCGGGACCCCCTCATATCGACCCTGCAAATAGTCGGATCATGTCGGATCCCCTTACGGTAAGGCCCCCTGTAAGGTACCCCTTATGTCGTAAACCCCCGTATTGGACAGAGGAGGGAGCCAGCGGCACAGCATCTGAGCCAGCGGCATCTTCTCTTCCTCCTGACTCACTGTTTTCTCGCAGGGAATGAGGGAATGAGGTACCCTGTAGAATCCCTTCAAGGGTATATATAGGGGGATATAGGGTACCTCATTCCCTCATTCCATACTAACCAAGAGTAAGCTGATCCGCAGCGCTGTCGGCTTACATGGTTAGTTCCCTGAAGTGTGGTCCCATGTAGGTCTTTACTTAATGGTTATAAATTCAGAAACTAGCCCCGTACATTTTATATTGCAGCCCCTTATCGTTAGGCTACCCCAAGAGTAGCCATAATTGTGAGACATGACAACATCACAAGGGCAACGCTATGCAACAGCATCTAGGTGAATTTTGGGTCCTTATTACGAGGAAAGGGTTTAAGCCTGCGAACGAAAGCCGCGAAACCGAAAACCGGAACCACCTAGTCACTCAAATGCCTCAACCCCTATCAACCCCCATCCCCCACCCTAAACCCTAAACCCTAACCACCAAACCCTAAACCCCAAACCCTGCCCATTCAAGCATTCAAGTAGGAGGATAGGACTTGCCTGGTAGAATCGCACAAGGTTGCTCGGAACCTTCACCTGGCAGCAATCTGCAGCTCTGTGCAACTACCTGGAAGCCCTGTTGGCTTAGGGTTTGGGATTTGGGGCTTAGGGGGGTTCAGGGTTTAGGGTTTAGGGTTTCGGGTTTAGGGTTTAGGGTTTAGGGTTTAGGGTTTAGGGTTTAGGGCTTAGGGTTTAGGGTTGAGACCCATGCAAACCAGACGGACAGACCCCAGCGAGTTGGTCAGAGGCACTGACGGTGATGCCCGAAACTGCGGCGATGGCTTCAGGGCTTGCAGTAAGGGTTTAGGGTTTAGGGTTTAGGGTTTAGGGTGTAGGGTTTAGGGCTTAGGGTTTAGGGTTTAGGGTTTAGGGGTTAGGGTTCAGGGTTTAGGGCCTGCAGTAATGGTTTAGGGTTTAGGATTTCGGGTAGGGTTTGGCGTGTAGGGATTCCAGATTCTTGTTTTGTTCCTGGAAGGGGGGGACGGGGGGGGGGGGGGGTACATAGGGTTCCATGGCCATGAGCCCTAAACCCTAAACCCCAAACCCTAAACCCTTAAACCCAAAACACCAAACCCAAACCCGGCCCTAAACCCTAAACCCTTATCCCTTAACCCTAAACCCCAACCCTAAACCCTGACTGGATAAGTGAGCTTAGAGCGGCCCTAACTTGTGGGGGGCACCTCCGGTTCCGCCGTGCACTACACCAGGATCACCGCCGAATCCTGCCAGAGCACAGGATTCCAGGCCCTTCTAGGGTTTGGGGTTTAGGGTGTAGGGTTTAGGGTTTAGGGTTCAGGGCCAAGTAGAAAAAAGAGAAACAGGCCGGAGATGCGCTTCTTCAACTGTTCCATTCTTCTCTCTGTGTCCTGGCACAGCAGCAGCATGAGGATCGCCCTTCCTCAACATCAGCACATCTGGTGTCCCGCAGCTCTTCTTCGAACTCTTCTTCCTGGCAGCTTGTCAGAACACCGAGAACATAGCAATGGCAAACGCTTCAGTCCTTGCACGACTGCCCACGGTACGCTGCATGAGTACTGGCTGATCCGGCTGGCCATGCACGCAACACAACCGCATGCAGAAGGACCTCGAAAAAACGCACGACATCTTCTGTGGAGTTTGCACCTCGGTGTGCAACGGCCAGGAAATCTCAGAGGGCCATGCTGAGCTGCCTCAGTGCAGCGCCGTTCTTGTCCTCACTCGACGGTTTTGGCAGAAATCGACAGCGAAGGTTCGACCTCAGCTAGCATCACGATCATGCTCATAATTTGGGATGTTCCCACTTAAATACTAACAGTCCGTAGTAGGGATTATAATCGGGAGTACTATCATCCCTAGTATTAAGGACTGTTCGTATAAGCGGGAACATCCCAAGTTCCGCTCCAAACCCCAGAAAGACCTGCAAGAGGCAGGAATGGCCTTTCAAACACTTCCTTCCTCTTCAGCAAGAGTTGTTGCCCTCACGTGCAATGCCCACAGCGTCTACAGCCTCTACCTCTGCCCATCTGCCATAGCTGAACCTCACACTCATGACATTAGGAGTTTAGATTTTAGGGTTTAGGGTTTAGGGTTTAGGGAGATCCGAGGTTGCGTCGCATTCGCAAGCCACAGGGTTCCATCTGCCTGCTTCAAGCGCATGGGCGTGATCACGCAACCAACAAGGCCACAAGCATGGGCCGCAGGCCCTGGCAGCGAGGCTTGTCAAAAACCCTAAACCCTAAACCCTAAACCCTAAACCCTAAACCCTAAGCCGTTTTGGGGGCCTCATCGAGGACAAACTCAAACTGGCCCTGCACAATCTCCATGCCCTCAGTTCGCTCGGGTTTAGGGATTTAGGGTTTAGGGTTTAGGGTTTAGGGTTTAGGGTATGGTCTAGGGTTCAGGGTTTTAGGGTCAGCCGTGTCCTGCGGAGTTCGCGCGGCGCGCTTTGTCAGACTCCGGTCCCGGAGTCAGGAGTGCGGTGGTGGCTGCTCCGCCGAGCTGCAACTCTCCTGGACTTGGACCGCAGGTGCTCATTCAGGCCTGAGTCGAAGCAGGGCGCACCCTTCCGGAAGTAAGAAATGCAAGACTCCACTCAGTCAAGGCCATGAACTCACGACGGGAGAACCCCTCAAAACCTAAACCCTAAACCCTAAACCCACTTGCAGGGCTTGAGCTGCTGGCATTTCGGGACGGCTGCCAGGCGAGCCGCCTCGCGAGCTCCCGCTGTAAAGGGCAAAGGGTTTAGGGTTCAGGGTTCAGGGTTCAGGGTTCAGGGTTCAGGGTTTAGGGTTTAGGGTTTAGGGTTTAGGGTTTAGGGTTTAGGGTTTAGGGTTTAGGGTTTAGGGAGCGAAGGATACCGAATGGGCCTCGGACTCCGCGGACTTCTGGGCAAGAGACCAGCTGCGGCCCGAAGCCTGGACAAGCAGGGGTTTGGGGGTGTTTGGAATCCATAGGATGATAGGATGCTTTAAGGGGACATAGGTTTCGGGTACTTAGTGTCTATAGGGTTAGAGGATGGTTCACACCATAAACCAGGATGGCGCCATGAAGGTTTTTCAACAGACAGCGGATGCGAGATCTTGCCGCTACAGCACGGACCGCTTGCCTTTCGCTTGGGCAGTCTCAGTCTGTCAGAGACGTTGGTGCAGACTTGCCGCCAAAGCTGGAAGCTTCAATGGTGAAGGACTGGTACAGCAGTATGAAGTAGGGCTTTACGGTAGTATGCCAAGAAGGACCCCCGAATACATACACTCACGCATATTTCGGGTCTTGAATACTATTGGCGGGGCGAGGATCGTCTTCCCATGTGGCTTCGGGCATTGCAGTTGGGGGCGTGAGCGCTTTGGTACGGTATCTCTTCGAGATCCGTCGGCCCATCTTATCATCTGAACTTTCCTGCAAAGCATCGGCTTGGCATTGCAACTGTGGACCCTACACCCTAAACCCTAAACCCTTGGCATCTTCCCGCAGAGCAGTTCATAGGGCAGCCCCCAGACACATTCACACGCTCCAAGTGTCTTCGACACATGAAGAGCTTCAGAATCATTCGACGCACTTGGAGGTGCATGGTACTTACTACCCAGGAGTTTAGGGTTGAGGGTTGAGGGTTTAGAGTCTAGGGGCACGGATTCACCAATCATAGCCGTACTTATAACCCACTCATAAGCCCCTTAAGTGCCTTAACATGGGCTAGAATTTCGTGATAAGTACGGTTTTTATTGGGCTAATAAGTACCCTGTGCCTCCAAGCAGTGCATCCTTTGCGCACGGCGGAAAGGATCAAACAATGACATTATCATCTCCGGTGTGTCACCGAATGTGTGTACTTTGCATTTTGAACTATCAACGCAAGCTGTCGCTTCACGTCCGACGTTTCCCTGACAAGCTTCTTAATGGCTTGGCGGGTAATTTTGTTCTCGTAACTCATCTTCGACACCTGAAAACTCTTCGCGGGACCATACAGCTCCATGCAGCCCTGCACAAACTCATCCAAGTCGATGAGGCCACTGGAGTCTGCATCGATGATCGTGAAGAGCGTCCACACGTCTTGTGTCGAGATGCCCATGGACTCCAGAAAGCTCGCCATCTTGGGTGTGTTCACGGCGACTTTGAACCTTGGTAGCCCAGGTTTAGAGTTCAGGGTTTAGGGTTTAGGGTTCAGGGTTCAGGGTTTAGGGTTTAGGGTTTAGGGTTTAGGGTTTAGGGTTTAGGGTTTAGGGTTTAGGGTTTAGGGTTTAGGGTTTAGGGTTTAGGGTTTAGGGTTTAGGGTAACCATATTACAATAAGGGCACCCTTTTGGGGGTTGGTTATTTTGGGAACACAGAACCAAAAAAACAAAAAGGCAAAGGGCTACCAAGCAACTCATCAATGCTGACTAGGTTGGACCGGTCATGGTCAATCTCGTTGAAAAGCTCACGGAGAGACCTGACCAGCGCCGTCTGCTTGTTCAGCTGCTCGACGGCTCTGATGTCTCTGTCCGAGTTCGCGCTTTCAATAGCTGTGTTGCAGAAAACTCCAGTAACCTTGAACAAACTGACATGAAGACAACACAACTCTTGAATTTCACAAACGGCATACCAAGAACACAAAAATGGACTTCATTGGCTTCCAAGCCGCCACATTCATGACCGCAAAAACTGCGATCAGCACATAAACCACCATGCACGCGACGGCCACAAACGAAAAATCTTTCAATGGATCCATCGCTTCGCCCCAACTCAGACCTCCAGAAATAGCCATGAAAAGCGTCAGCATGCTTTCAAAGATGCTGGACCAATATTTGCGAAGCACATCATCATTGCAATATGGCACGGCGTTGCTGTCTCCAGTCGCAACAATGGCTTCGAATCTGCAGTGATCTTGCACAAGTTGGGCCAGCACAACGCCGAAGGAATAGAAAAGCCTCAGAAGCAACGAGACGCTAGAAACTTAGGTAGTGCGTGCGGATCATGAACAGCATCTACTCCTACCACCACCTGGGCAAAACCAAATGGACATAGAATCGCTGAAGACCAAACCGGAACTTTCATTGGCCAGTGATTAAGATTTTCAAGCTCTCGGCTGAACACACAAACTACACGTGCGCCAGGCAGGTGTTGCTGGACTGACAAGGCCGACCGCAAGCACTTACAATGAGGCACCCATCCTCCATCTACCTTATACCAATTGCGTTACCACGCGCTACCCTATTGCGATAAGGACGCAGAGAGAGCGCTGCACTCTTTTCGCACATGCTGCTCTCGGTCTGGCACGCAGCCGATTCAGGCATACAGCTGAGTCACGTAGCGCAAGGTAGAGTGTGCGAAGCTGCAGGGCCACCAGAGACAGCGTGCCTCAATGACACTGCAGCCTGGACCAAGACCACCCGGCGCATCAGTGCTTTGGCAGGACAGAGAGCTGCCAGGCGTGCGACAATGCACCGTGAGGCGTTTGTCTTCTGTAGGTTCTAGCTACAAGGCTGCGCTGTGCACTGTGAGTCTTGAGCCTTGAAGCTCGCCAAGACCACATCCGGCGGGCAGAGAGACGGAGTGTTGCTGCGGTGATGCGAGGCTCACGGGCGAGAACCTGAGCCGGCACGGGAAGTGCTCCAGAAATGTGGCACGACCGCGGCTGAGCGCAACAGCCCACTCATTCACTCAACTGCAAAAACTACGCGACGCAGGTGCACGTGGCCACGAAGTGGATGAATGTGCTGAGCTGCTCTGACCTGTAAAATACGATTCACTTTTGGCTGAAGTGTCATGGCATGCTGCAGCGTCTCAAAGCAGGCGACGTAGCCCTGGCCCACTGCTGGTTGAGCCAAACGAAACTTGCGCTGTCGATAACCTTTCTCCGATGCCCACAGCATCTCCTTCTGCCACAGCACAAGAGTGCACTGCACGGGATGCCCGCGCAGGTCTGCGTAGGGCGCCAGCGGGGACTGACATCTCGAGCCCAGTTTAAGAGTCCTCGCGTGCACCATGCTGGGCGGGTGCTTGTTGGTACGGTGCTGCGAAGCTGAGCTTTACGGTCTCACCAGAATTCGCACTGAGGCGGGACGTGTCATACTACTTCAGCCCAGGCGAGGCAGAACAACGGCACCAGAATAAAAACGCGGTCCCGGCCAGCAGAGCTCTGCGTGGTCTGAGGAGTACCTGTGGGAGAGCGAGGTCTTGGCCAGACTAAACGCAGAGCACTGCAACAGCCGGGAAGTCAACTGTTCGGCATGGCTGGGCTTGCTGGCCAGCACGTACTCACGCGAACAAATGCCCAAAGCCGCTCATTGGGCCTGGAGGCTACGAGCCAGATCTATCCAGTCGACTGGTCGAAGCCGCAAGCTGGAAAGTGAAAAGTTGCGACTGGGTTGCATTGAAACAGAAGCGGCAAAGCAAATTCATGCGCAGTGAAGGTGGCTGAGATTTTTTGCACCAGCAGCCGACCAGCCCGAGCATGTGTGCTAGGATTTAGTTGAATGTAAGTACACACGAAACACATAGGAAGTCTCCAGGTGGGACCACAAAGGAAAGATTGTTGACTACTTACCAACTACGAACGCAGGGGAGGGAGCAGGGAGGGAGGGGGAGGGGCAAGTATGGCCTCTTGAGTCTCAGTTTCGGGCACCTAGATGGGCTGATGGTTGAACTGCCCTACATCGACTGATGAAAGGGAACGGTGGCGACAGTTCTGGTAGCCTGGGAACAGCATGTACCTGAAATGTGAGTCCATTTTGGGCACCAGGACAGGTTCCACAGGTGCAACCCCCACATAACCAGACCTGTCAAACATCTCAGGGAGATGACGATGGTCAGCAGAACCCTCCACAACAACATCGTTGTGTCAGAGACCTCTGACCCTCGTTCTCTGCGGTAGCGAAAAAAGGTTGGGGCGGGAGGAAAAAAGAATTCCTGAAGCTGCTGGGGCTGAGGCCTGGGGTCCGGGAAGAGGGTGGATTTCACAAGTGTAGAGGGCTTTGGGCTTGGAGGATTTAGGGCGTGGGGCTTATGGCTTGGAAGGTTTCGGGTGTAGCGTTTGGAGGGCTTAGAGGGTTTTGCAGGGTGTGTGGTTTATGCTATACTTTCCTGAGAATCGGACTTAACATGCGATCTTGATTCAATGCTCCCTTGCGTTGTAAATACACAAAAAACCCGTCACTATCCCTCAGGTGACTGCGGTACGTTCATGCAACAGAAAGGCACACGACTAGTACATCCCCACTTCTTGCACGTGCTACTAACTAACAAATTCTTAGTCTTGGGGGGTGGCTGTTTGTCTGAGGCCACCTCAGCCAAGCGACAAGCACAGAAGGATCAGCGTCCACAGCAGGGACTTCAGTGTGTTCAAGATGGAGAACACAAGAGTTCGCAAGGCGCCCACATACCGAAGCAGCCGAATCACTCGGATTCCGCGCAGGGTCCGAGCCAAGCGCATGAAGCGCATCACGCGCAAGTGACTCAACTCCACCTGCGAGGCAGATTGCGACGCTGCCCAGAAATCCAGCACCGTCTCCACCACTGACAGCATGATGATGATCAGATCGAAAACGTTCCAATGGCCGTCGGCACCCATGAAGAAATCCCTGCAGCCAAAGGCGAACAGCTTCATGACGATCTCCACGACAAAGATGATGACGATCATCAGGTTGAGCGTCTCAAACCAGGTGGGAACATCATCCTGTCCCAGCGTCATGGACATCTCCACCTCTATGCCTAGCAAGAGGAGGTTGATGAAGATGAGCAACATGATGCCGTAGACAAAGAGGTTCGAGGAAACAACTTTCCCGACCAGGTCGTTGGTGGAGCTGACTTTCTCTTCTTGCGGAGGCGGGGCAAGGGCTACTTGAGAAGCAGCTTCCCTGGCGATTTGATGCTGCGCAAGGAGCTTCGAACGGACAAAGCTGAAACGGGAGCTATCTCGCTTCTCAGCCAAGCCCTCACGGGTCCCATCGCGGCTCTCCGGGCTGTCATTCGTGGTGTCCCGATGTTCCTCATGATGCAAGGCCGGAGGCAGGCTCACAATGGAGGGGGTCTCCGAGTGTCTTGGCGGCTCCTTGACTCTCACCCGCGCTGCTTCGCTGTCAGTACCTGACAAGCGTGGCTCCTCCTTCACACTCCGCACCCCTGCCTGGCTGCCAGCGCTGCCTCCCGCGTGAGGCTCGGCCAGAACAATGCCATGCTCCGCCAACAACTGCCCGACACCCTCAAGGTTGTCGGGGGATGGCACGTCGGTCTTCCCGAACTTTCCGAACTCCAAGTCCAGACCATGGATAGACATCAGCTTGTCGAGCCTACTGAAATCGATGCTTGATTCCCGGGCCGACGACGGCTGACGTAGCCGATCATCCGCTCGTGAGGGGAAGGCTCCTTTGAGCTGGGAGAGCAGCTCCTGCAGCTGCTCCGACTGCACGGAGAACTGCACTTTCATATACTCATGCAACACCCTGATCTCATCCCTCACCGACCCCTCGAAAATGTCGTACATCTCCCGGAGGTCGTTATCTGCACCACGCATCTCGGCAGGCAACTTGACCGGCACATCCCCCTGCATTGCTATCCTCGACACATGCTGCCTTGAGTCTCTCTCAGCCGAGAACGCCTTGTGCCAAAATGCCAAGAGAAGGGCGACAGGTTACATGCGCAGTACAGGAAGCACACATTATCTGCAGATGTGAACACTGCATGTGCGACAGCTCTGCTTCACGCGCAGCTCCATGTCCCCCAGCCGTGCGGCTAGCAGATCGCAGCCGGATGCGAGCACCACCCCCCAGAGGCATGGGCTCCTTCGGGAATCGGCACATGGGCATCTCCTACTCCGCATGCTTTGCCGCATACGCTGGATCATCTGTCTGTCGACCCTCTTGCCCTGCGATCCCCTACACTGGGCTCTCAAACCCTAAGCCCTAAACCCCAAACCCCAAACCCTAAACCCTGAACCCTCCTGAGGATCCAAGCCGCCGTTGTTGATGTCAAAGCTGTAGGTAATGTACCTGCTCTCAGGAAGCATGCGGGCAGTTCTCTACATCAGGGTCCCGTTTTGGGTCCCCTCTCTAGTACGGCACCCTTAAACAAGGGACCCGAAAAGGAACCCTCATTTAGAGAACTACCCATAGAGAATCCATCCCCAAACCTTGCCTACTAATTGCTTAAGAACCCCCAAAAACCATTAAAAAACATTAAGCGAATAGTAGTTGAACCCGCGCACCCTTGAACCCTTGAACCCTAAACGCAATCCGAAGCCTCACGGATAGCACTCGGACATCGCCCACCTGCCTGGTGGGTATGCCGGCCCTCTTGCTTTGTATGGGAACCTCGGCGCTTCCGGTTTCTGGCGGTTTGGGATTTGGAGGTTGGACAAAAACAGGAAGAACTGGAGACAAGCACGGGCTTGTGAGACGCACCGGTGCAGTCAAAGTCAACAGAACAACGGTCATGGCTTAGGGTCTAGGGTTTAGAGTCTAGAGGTTACGGTTCGGGTCACTGAGTGGAGGGGACGATGCCTACCAAAAGCGGCAAGTCCCATGGCGCAGCGGGCAGCTCTGCTTTACCACCGCCAACAACAGGCAGTCTTCGGCCTGCTATGTATACATTCCCAGGGGGCCCCGCAATACCCCCCTAACTCAGGAATACACCTTAAACTGCGTAGGGGGGGCAGACCCCCTAACTCAGGAATATACCTTAACAACTGCATAGGGGGACCTATGAAAGAAGCCAGACTCCTGAATTCAGGAGGTATTGGGCTCCCCAGGTTCGCCAGGCCGGGGGGACTTCAGCTCACTTCTCCGGCTTCGGCGGGGGTGCCACTTGCTGGTTGTAAAATGGCATTTCAGGCATTTCAGTTGCCATGCAAAGGGGTGACACTTCATCGTTCTTGCCCGGACGAGACACAGCATTACCGCATCTCGAAGCAGGACATCTGCCACGAGGCAAATTCGATCTGCAAGGCGTACACGTCTTTTAACGCTTCCCTTGCAGACTCGACAGCAACAAAAATGTTACCCCGCTGGCTTGCCAGAAGCATGAGATACCAAGTGCCAACGAGCATCTTCAACGGGTAGCACAAACATCAGTTTACGTTTCGCTGAAAGCAAACCTTCACATCTGCCATTGTAGGGCTTCGCATTGTACGGAAGAGAAGGGCGACAGCGAACTTCACTCATTCCTGAGGCTTGGCGATGAGGACGTCGGTCTGCAAGCATGTGACATACGAGGCTCGCTTGCAAATACAGTTCCGACAAGGCGGTAGTAAGAGCCGACGGTGCTTTAGATTCTCATAAAGGCAGCTGGGTCGCACATGAGTGGTATCTGAGTCTCAGAACTAAGTCGGATATGTTCTGTATCTGGGAGGCATCACTCTGTCTGACCACAGGATTTCTTCAGTATCTGAACACCTGATCAGCAATCAACTATGCCAGCCGACGGTGTCTGAGATGTCTGAGAAGATGGGTAATGCAAAATCATGTTCAGGGAGCTAAACAGGCCTGCACGTGCGCATGCACAAGTAGCTGCTGCTCACTACAAAGGAGCTTCGACAACAGCACGAAGAGTTAGAGAAGTTCAGCAGATCTTGATGTTCCGCTGCGTTTGCACAAAGATGTGTCATCGTGTTGTGTTCAAGGATCCAGGGAGTCTCGCATGACACATGTTGCTCGCATATTTGGAAATGAGCATGCTCACAAAAATCTTTGCCTCAGTGGCATTGGCATTTCGCACCTAGTAGTGTCTGGGGTACGTGGGTAGAAGCTGATCGTTTGAGTCTGAGCGATGTCGAAACCGTATGATGCTTAGCATCAGATCCTCTGAGTACTTCCGAAGAGGGATGACGACTTACCTCTTGCAGCCAGGAGTGGACTTCGCATAAGCATCACATCTCACAAGGAAAGCATTCTGAACTCTAAACCCTAAACCCTAAACCTCAAACCCTCAACCCTAAACCCTAAACCCAAAACCCTACCCAAATCGGTGTCACCTTCATCCCCAATTCACCCCAGTCCTAGCGTCATCATGGTGTCAAAATGTCGTTCCGGCCTCTCGAGCTGGCTTGGACCAGCAGCCATAGCAGTTCTTGTACGTGGCTTCTTCTGCCTCAGCCTGCATCTGACGTGCAGAGAATTAGACAGAGATACTGAAAAAGGAAGGTCCCCCCGCCGAGGGCCTGCGCATGCTTGGCCTCATACTCCCGGAAGCCGTGGCAGTACGCCATAGTGTCCTAGAGAAGCTCAATCTGAAGCTGAGCAAAGCCGAGCAAGCCGTCTCGCGGTTTACGAAGATAAGGGACCCCCAATATAGATCCCCAAATTTAGGGTGTAGGGTTTAGGGTTTAGGGTTTAGGGTTTAGGGTTTAGGGTTTCGGGTTTAGGGTTTAGGGTTTAGGGTTAGGATCCCCTTCTAATAAGGCTGAGCCAGCAAGCGCTACTGGGAGCGGCACCGCGATGGTAAGGAAGTGATGAAGCACCGTCCAGGCCATCAAGACCGCGACGACCCCACATGCCTCAACTGAATCCTAAGGTCCTGGTAGGGTTTAGGGTTTAGGGCTTGGGGTTTGGGGCTTGGGGTTTAGGGTTTAGGGTTTAGGGTTTAGGGTTTAGGGTTTAGGGTTTTGGGTTTTGGGTTTAGGGTTTAGGGTTTAGGGCCTACATCCTACGCCCTAAACGCAGCTGCAGACACCAGCGATCTCACTGAAGCTGGGAGATCGGCTATAGCCGCCGATCGAGGATCTGACACATGATTCGCGCTCGCGGAATCCTGCGCTGTTAGGGTTTAGGGTTTAGGGTTTAGGGTTTAGGGTTTAGGGTTTAGGGTTTAGGGTTTAGGGTTTAGGGTTTAGGGTTTAGGGTTTAGGGTTTAGGGTTTCAGGTTTAGGGTTTAGGGTTTAGGGTTTAGGGTTTGTCACAAGGCATGACAGCAGCTTGGAGCCGCGAACCAACACAGCAAGCGCTCCGTGTAGCGGGTGACCGTGCTTGTGATCATCTTGGTAGGTGATGGAACGACCAGAGGTTGCTGAGACCAGAGAGCGGAACTCTGAGCTGCAAGAGCTCGTGCGAAATCTGAGGGGCAGACGTACATAATCACGCATGTGCCCGCACCAATCCCAGCTATGCCGAGGGCAACGAAGACGTAGCAAATGCCTGACAGCTACCCACTTACTGTATTTCAAGGGACCTCCTTATACCCAGATAACTTTTGTAAACCCTGAACCCTGAACCCTAAACCCTAAACCCTAAACCCTAAACCCTAAACCCTAAACCCTAAACCCTAAACCCTAAACCCTAAACCCTAAACCAAAGAGTGCTTCTTGGCCTGCCTTCGACTGCTGCCCAAGTCGACCGATCCGAAAAGATCACCTCCAGCGAATGCCTTGGCACCCAAAGAGTGGATTTTCCAGGTGGATTTAGGGTTTAGGGTTTAGGGTTTAGGGTTTAGGGTTTAGGGTTTAGGGTTTAGGGTTTAGGGTTTAGGGTTTAGGGTTTAGGGTTTAGGGTTTAGGGTTAAGGGTTTAGGGCAGGAAGCAGAACTCCCATAAGCTGCCTTGACACCCCCAAAGTGAATTTTCCAGCTCAGGGCTCTCGAACTCCCATAAGCTGAACCCTAAACCCTAAACCCTAAACCCTAAACCCTGAGAGCCATTCAGGCTCGCACTCTAAGGCGCCACAGAAGCCCTGGTCGCCGTGGTAAGCGATGTCCATCAAGGCAACCTGCGCTCACACCCCTTTTCCCGCCACCTCTCTCACACGCGTTTGTTTACATATATATATATATATATGTATATATATATATATGTATATATATGTATATATATATATATATATATATCGATATATATATATATATATGGTACCCCCCCTCCCCCGTTATCCATACCTTTTCTGCTTGTTTTGTGTTTTTTTCTTGTTCTGGCACGCGCATTTCTGCTTTTCGTTCGTGATTTGTTTTCTTTGTCCCAGCGTGTTGATTTGTTTTTCTTTCTTTGTTTATATCTAGTTGCTTATCTATATGTTCATATTGCACCCATAGAGACCGGTACAAACCGGTACAAATCGGTACAAGTTGTGCCGGCCCCGGCCCCTGGAACCAAGAACCAAGAACCAAGATTGCAGGGAGGTCTTGCCCTGCAATCTTGGTTCTTGGTTCTTGGTTCCATGGGGCCGGTACAACGTGTACCGATTTGTACCGGTTTGTACCGGTCTCTATGTTGTCGAAACATACGGGCCGGTACAAGCCGGTACAAACCGGTACAAGTTGTACCGGCCCCATAGAACCAAGAACCAAGATTGCAGGGCAAGACCTCCCTGCAATCTTGGTTCTTGGTTCTTGGTTCCAGGGGTGGGGCCGGTACAACTTGTACCGTTTTGTACCGGCTTGTACCGGTCCGTGTGTCTCGACAAATTTTTAAGGATTTCAAGGGCTTTTGAAAATTTAGATGGGCCGGGCCTTTTCCCAAAATAACTATTTTGTTTCAAGGGTTTCAGGACTTTACGGATTTTGGAAAATTCAAGCGGGCCGGGCCTTTCCCAAAATAATTTAACTTTTTTCAAGATTTTACGGATTTAAAAGCATCTAAGTGGCCTTTTACATTCCCTAAAACCCTTAAAAGTTTGAAAGCCAGAGGCCTTTCAAAAGCTTAAGGAGTTTGAGGGTTTTAAAAAATTGAAGGGTTCTTCTAAATTCCTTAAAATCTTTAAAACTTTGAAAGGGGGAACAGAACCATCAAATAGTGGGCAAAGGTGAGTCGTACACAGGGCTATAAGGTTCTAATCCTATAGGTAATGCCTCCACCTTAAGCCTTTGAACCCTCTAGGCCTATAGGGTTTAAACCCTATAGGGCTAACCCCGTGAGGGCTTTAGAGATAAACCTGGAAAAGTCCTGAGCCTTTAAACTTTATGGGGTTTTAAGGTTTAAAGACCTAAGGTCTGGGCATGTATACCTTCAGCGCCTATCGGGTTAAAACTTTTGAGGCTTTTAGAGCCCCATAGGCTTTCAAGGTTCTGACCCTAAAGGGCTTAGGATTTAGACTTAAATGCCTAAACCGTAAGCCCTTATGATTTAAACTTTATGGGCTTACAAACCTTGAAGACCCCCAAAACCTTTGACCCGATACCTGCTTATTCTTTGCATTTCCACCAAGCCCTCAAAACAGAGGCATAACCATATGGGATTTTAGGTTTAGGAACTTACGCCTCAAGCCTTGCAGGGTTTTTTTCAGGCTCTAATCCTATAGGCAATGCTTAAACCTTAAGCCCTAAACTGTTGAACCCTATAGGCCTAGAGGGTTCAAACCCTACAGGGCTAACCCCGTGAGGGCTTCAGAGATCAACCTTGAGAAGCCTAAACCTTTCGACTTTATGTGGTTTAAACGTAAAAACCAAAGGTCTGGGCATGTATACCTTCATCCGCACATGGGTTTAAACCTTTTGGGGCTTATAGAGCCCCATAGGCTTTCAGGGTCTTGACCCTAAAGGGTCAGGTTTAGATGCCTAAATCGTAAACCCTTAAGGTTTAAACTCTATGGGCTTAGGTTTACATACCGAGATCTTAAATCTTCAAACCGATTAACCCTATAGGATTTAAAGGTTAAGGGTTTAGGTGTAATTGCTTAACCTTGAAACCCTATGGATCTCAAGGTTCAGGTTTCAGGTTTAACCCTAAACCCTATCGGCTTTAAGCCTTAAACCCCAAAGGGTTTCGGGGCGTCTCTTTTTATAAGACTTAAACCTTATCCGATAGGGTTTTAGAGATGAGCCCGGAAAGAAAAAGCATTTACAAAACCAGGGAGCGGAGCGGAAGGGAGGGGAGGAGGTCGCTGTGCCCAGTGTTTGGACAGATGGAGAGGACTCAACATGTCAAGGATTGCATACATTTACGTTATGTAGAGGGTTGGGTTATTGGGGGGGGGGGGGGAAGTTCAGGGGTCACCGCGGCCCGTGAACGATTTAATTGGCTCGCAACCACAAAAGGTGTGGATAACCACAAAAAAGCGTGGATAACCCGGGGGGGGTAGCTTATATATATATATATATAGGATATATATATATATATATATATATATATATATATATATGGTACCCCCCCCCCCCAGTGACCTACCCTTTTTCGCCTTGTCTCAAGTCACCCAGCTGCACTGCAAGCAAACTCGGTGTGCAATATAGCGTATTTCCTAGGGCGTAGACTAAAATACAACTAAAATCGCATACACGGGACAGTAGAAAAACCAAAAATACCAAAACCAAAAAAACCAAAACCAAAAAAACCAAAAATACCAAAAAAACAATTTTCCGGGACTCTCAGGAAATCCCTATGAGGCTTCTCCAAGAGTCCCGGAAAATTGGTTTTTTTGGTATTTTTGGTTTTTTTGGTTTTGGTTTTTTTGGTTTTTTTGGTTTTGGTTTTTTTTTTGGTTTTTTTGGTTTTGGTATTTTGGCTTTTTGGTTCGCCTTCACGGTCACGAGGCAACAACTACGCATTTTTAAGTGTGCTTATGCTAATTTTGTGCTTTTCAGAACTAGTATACAAGTGGTCTTTCTAGTGCTTCAGAACTATTTGTTTCGTTATTATGTAAGTAGAGCCGCTAGTGTTTAGTGCATCTTTTGGTTGTACTCAAGTGTAGTAGGCCTTATTCAGCCATTACTTGGTGCTCCGGTAGCTCTATTCGCATGTATAATATTTGCCTGGTAAATGCGATTAATTATCTAGAAGCAGCCTTTGCAATAATTACTTGTCTTGAGAAAAAGCATTTATTGCTTAGAATTGTTTGCTTAAAAAGTGACTCCTACTCGTCCAGGAATACCCCAAAACCCTATAATCCAAACTTTACCAGAGATTCTCCTGAAAAGCTTGCGCTTTTGGATGTTTTTATGTATTTGTGAACTTGCTTGTGTATGGCCTTCACTAAGTACTTTTCTAGGATTCTTGTGCATTTTTTAAGCCTGATTGTGCAAGTTGCGTTTTTCAAGCATAGTATGTATGTGGTCTTTATTGAATACTTCAGACATCTTTGTTTCATCGTTATGTAAGTAGAACCGCTTCTGTTTCCATTATTGTGCATCTTTAAGCTTGCTCATGCAAATTGTGCTTTTCAGACATAGTATATAAGTGGTCTTTAGTGAATACTTCAGCAATCTTTGTCTCATTGTTATGTAGGTAGAACCGTTTCCATTTCCGCAAGTGTTTATTTCGTATTTGGTTGAGTATGGTCCTTTAAATAGTATTCACTTGAGTCAAATTGGGCTATTTGCTTAAGAATTCCTCTAGTAGTTAAATTCGCATAGAATGAATACTTCAAAAAAAATGTTTCATGAATATGTAAACATAAGGTGTTTCATTTGACTTTGCAGATAGTACTTCAATAATGCTTTGCCTGGTATAAACACAACTGTTTCAATGCATTAGTTGCTCAACAAAGCACTATTTGCCCTTTAAACCACACTTTGCCATATTTTGGTTGAATATGGTGCTTCTTTCGTATTTTGGTTGAGTATGGTCCTTTAAATGGTATTCGCTTGAGTCAAATTGGGCTTTTTGCTTAATAATTACTCTAGTAGCTAGATTCGCATAAAATGATTATTTCAAAAAGAAAAACGATTCATGAATATGTAAACATAAGGTATTTCAGTGGACTTTTCAGAGAGCATACTTTGCCCAGTACAAACACAATTGTATAAATACAGTATTTGCACTTTAAACGCACACTTTGCCATTTTTTGGTTGAACATGGTGTTTATTTCGTATCTTGGTTGAGTATGCTCCTTTAAATAGTATTCACTTGAGTCAAATTGGGCTCTTTGCTTAATAATTACTCTAGTAGCTAAATTCGCATAGAACCAAGAAAGATGTTTCACTATTTGATTAATACTTTGCCTCGTACAAACACAATTGTATAAATAAATTAGTTGCTCAACAAAACATTAATTGCCCTTGAAACGCACAATTTGCATAGAAAAACACTGATCTAAACATCTAAAAACAGCATTGTCCGCTTCAGATTCAAAATGTAGATTCTTCCAATGCTAGCTTATCGGGGTCTGTGAGGTGGGTGTCCCAGTAGCTGTCCTTCATTACCCGGTGATTAACTACGCGACTTTTGGGCCTTCTTTGTTATTTTTTGTTAAAAAGGCCTAAAAAGGCCTAAAAAGGGTAGGTCGCTGGGGGGGGGGGGGGTAGCATATATATATATATATATTTATATTTATTTATTTATTTATTTATTTATGTCTTCATTTATTTGTTTATTTTCATATTCTTATTCATGTGTTTTTTTATGCCCTAAACACCAGTCTATCACTCAAAGTGCCTGCAGTACTCCTCTTGTATGCTTGCGAGAGTTCTTCTGGAGGGCGCCTGGCTTGTCAGGTCCAAGATACGCTGGACGCAGCCCAGGCAGGCGGCCGTCAAGTACTGGAGAGCCTGGGGGGCAGTGCTCTCGAAAGAGTTGCCCGTTCGGGTTGGAGGTGCAATGGGGTGTACGGGCTACAAAAACTACCCTGAACCCTGAGAAACGCGAGATTCACACCCCAACATCTGTCAGGAAGGCTGAAGCTTGGTATGGAGGACCTTGGAGATGCAGGCCGTGAGCGGGTTGGTGTCCAGAATCTCCTGACAGTACGTATCCGTTATCGGTATCTGCTTGTCCACAAAAAGCTGTGCATGTATGTACGTCCGTATGTGAGTGTGTGGCTCAGGCGTGTGTAGACAAATGTGTATACATACATACATTCATACATACATACATGCATGCATGCATACATACATACATGCATAAATATGAATATAAATACAAATACAAACATAAATATAAATATGAATATGCAAACAAACATAAACACAAATACAGACGTAAATACAAAGACAGATCTAAATGCAAATGTAAAAATGAATATCTATATATATATATACATATATATACATATATACATATATATATATTCTACACATTCCTAATCAAGGCATACAAATACACACAGGCATGTATAGATGAGTATGTGTGTAATATATGTATACATGTATATGTACATATATATTTGCTTATTTATGTATATGCACAGATATATATATATATACATGTCTAAATATCTCAATATGTGGATGACACCGTATACAGTGCAGGCTCAGCTTAAGATCACGTTGGTTAAGACAAAAGAGGCCGTACTGCGGATTTCCGAGACCCTGGGGAAGCGCCCATCCCAAGGTGAAGCCCTGCACTTTGATTTGCAAGATACGGTTTGCAGGCGCTCAGAAACGCCTGTCCCCGTGGTTTAAGAAAGAAAATACGTTTTCCAGGGGCCAACACCCTTAAAATGCACGTGAGGTTGAACCAAAGTGCGCTTCTAGATTCAAATCCCTGAAACATTAGAGGTGCTAGTTCAAGATTTCAAAGAATCCAACCTACCCTTCTTTTGGGTGAAGAAAGTGCTAAGAAATCCGTGTCCAGTGAATGTGGTGAACCGAAATTCACGAAGTATGGAAGGAAAGACGATCAGTGACCTCAGACCTCTCAGGAGACGTTTCTCAACCAACGCTCACACTGTATCCACGCAGATATACCGGTGTATTTACATATATACACACATGTAATAGGAATCATACGCATAAGCGTGGGCTGGTGATGTACATATGGGCCTCTATAACCTTGAGTCACAAGGGTGATACTGCGCACCAAACCACCAAAACAGCCCATCTTCGCGAGCAACCCCCATGTACGCACAAGCCAACATGGCATGCACCCAATTCTGGCCTGCGTACTCAAGATGGCTTTCACAACCCAGCGCCTGAACGCATTTGCTCAGCACGAGCCACGAGCCCCAGAAGCCAAGAACGGAAGGGCTCGGGCATGTTAGGGGTTGAGGGTTTAGAGGCTTTGCGGGTATGGGGGGTCGACCACCACATGGACCCACAGACTGTCAAGTTGTTTCGCCAGGGTCGTACGATGCTGAGACCGCGGCGCCACTCGCAGAAGAACGATCAAGAGAGCTGCGTAGATCAGGGAGCCCAGGTGCTTGGTGATCGCCGCGATATAGGCTGTGGCAAGGAAGCCCGTCAGCCGCAGAGTAGTAAAAGACAGACGAGGCAAATGGGCAGTTTTCAGTTCTCTCTCGTTACCCTAACTTCTGGATGCATATATATATATATATATATATATATTTTTTTTTTATCTATATGTATTTACACATGCCTTCAGTTTAGGGTATCTCCGACAAAGGGAAGACCCGAAACTACCTACCGGACTGAGGCCTTGAAGCATCACGGTCGGCCCGCAGGCGCCGCAAAAGTTGGTACGCCTCGGTGCATTGTGAGCCACTAGGCGGTTACAGGGTTGCTTCGCATCTGGTGCTTTGAGCGAATCTCTGAGAATCCGGCGATGTCCCGTAATGCTTGAAATACCACACTTCAGCGGTGTAAATCTCAGCGCAAATGCTGCCATGCATTCATTTGGATCTGACCGAAAGCGCTCTCGGGAGCTTCGATTCGTCGCGCGCCTAGGTCAGCCTGTGAATGCGGGTTTAGGGATGCGGGTTTAGGGTTTAGGGTTTAGGGTTTAGGGTTTAGGGTTTAGGGTTTAGGGTTTAGGGTTTAGGGTTTAGGGTTTAGGGTTTAGGCAGCACTAGCACATCATGTAAGATGCTCAGCGCGGCACCACCACAAAGACGGAGATGTAGTGCAGGACTTCCATGAACTCGGTGTGGGGCAGCTCGCACCGCAGCTGGACCAGGCTAAACCCTAAACCCTAAACCCTAAACCCTAAAGCCTAAACCCTGTGCAGCTCAGGCGGAGGCCCACAAGAACACGAAAGCCTCATAGACTGCACAGGTCAGGGCCAGATCATCCTCAGCTGCACAAGGACGTTGACCATGGACTCCTAAAAAAAGGCTTAGGGTGTAGGGTTTAGGGTTTAGGGTTTAGGGTTTAGGGTTTAGGGTTGAATGAGCACCGGGCCGGATTAAAGAGGCTGGAAGGCTTCGTCAGGTCCACGGAAGTGAAGTCTCCAGAAGTAACGAGCACGAGGAAAAGGACCTCCACGTCATCTTCATGGACTAGCCCGAAACCCTAACCCTAAACCCTTATACTCATACTCCACCGGCTTCACTGGCATGGTCTCTGCTCAGCTTGCGACCACCCCGCCGACAAAAAATGGCACCTGCAGCTTGACTCAGCCACGTGCAAAGGGGGTCTCCGAATCAAGGTTTTCTGATTTATGGTTTACAGCCACGTGCTGGGGTTTTGGGGCTTAGGAATTCAGGATTCCTGTCCTGTCCGTCCTACCCTTGGCCAGAAAGACGGAGACCCGGCCTTCAGGATCAGACTGATCATAGGCTCGAGCAGAAGGCTCGGCATCGTCATCAGGCAGTCTGCTGCCTCTAATGTTAAAATAACAATGGTTTGGGGTTTGGGGTTTGGGGTTTGGGGTTTTGGGTTTAGGGTTTAGGGTTTGGGGTTTGGGGTTTAGGGTTTAGGGTTTAGGGTTCAGGGTTTAGGGTTTAGGCTTAGCATCAGCAAGAAGGGCATGGAGATCGGCACGTCATGGCACAGCACGATGCAAGAAGAGCCACGCCGAGACATAAAGGCACCGCATCTCCAGGCCTCTTGGGCTGCTTCTGTTGCCTGGAGAGGTTGGGGTTTCGGGTTTAGGGTTTAGGGTTTAAGGCTTCGGGGGGTTGCGGGTGCGCCTTCAAGACGGAGGAGCAGCTGCAGCAAGCCACCAGGCCGAAGATGACCGACCTTGCTGTCTGCAGCTTCCGCCCCTTGAGCACCCCGAAGCCCCTGAAGGTAAAGCCCGAAACCCTAAACCCTAAACCCTAAACCCCAAACCACAAACCCTAAACCCTAAACCCTAAACCCAAGCTGGGGTGTGGACATGCCCACGCCAAGAGTTCCGGCTACCAGAAGTCCTTGTGCCTGACATGTCAAGCTGAAGGTTGAGCTAGGGCTCCCTCTTGCCCCCTCATCAAGGACCCCCACCCCTTCCCATCACATTTTTCCAGCCCTTTTAGGCTTAGGGTTTGGGGTTTAGGGTCTGGGGTTGAGGGTTTAGGGCTCAGGGTTTGGGGTTTAGGGTTATTTTGAAGGTTTCTCAAGAAACTCTCACGTGCTGGGAAACCCACCCTCAACTCGGTCCAAAATTATAGAACCATGGTCCCTCTTCGGGTACCCTAAGTGTAAGGGGCCCAAATGGAAGAACTGCCCACCTGCTTAGCTGCCTCACCCACTGAAAAAATTGTGAGCTTTCACGCTACGTCTAGGCGTCGGGCATCGTTGATGTAGCCCTGACTCATCGACGCGATCCTTGCTCATGCTACTCTTTCAGGTAGGGCCGATCCACATACACGACAGAACAAGCCTGCAGAATGGGATCTCACGTCAGGGGCCGCATGATAAAAGTGCACTGAAGAATGCTGCAAAGGGTCTGTGTCCCAACAGGGGACATCTCGTCCTGATACCACCTCCGCACTTGTCACCATCTGCACTCTTCTGCGAAGCACTGAGGACCTGGTACATTGGTGTGCGGGGCCACCCGGGGCCCGCGCAGCTGCAGGAAGTAGAGACCCAAGGCAGCAGGAGCAGTGACCAGCACGGCAACGCATATCCGCACCAGAAACAAGCCGAAGTATTCAACCTCGAAAGGCTGTGGAATGCTGCCTGCGCTTGCTTCGGCTTCGGCGCTGCTTACTCTAAGCGGAGCGGCCAGGCAAAGGAACACAAAGGCCAGGATGAGCGCCCTCGCATAGCGGGCATGTCTGAATGTCACTGAGAGCTCGAGGCGACAGTCCGAAGCAACTAGGGCCAGGTCAATACCCCAGCCATGAGGAGGACCTCCACATTCCTTGGCAAAGGGACCGCGACCCGGGCATCACGCAGAGCTTATGGAGCTTGAGGGCACTGGGCATCCAGCTGCGAGAGATTGTTTACCTCCAGGGCCGCCGTGAAGAGCGCGTTGCTCCCTTCCCAGGTCAGGATCACGTCTTGTGGGGAGCTCGCCTCTATGGCATCTCACACAGGGCCTTGGAGGCCTACGATTTGTCCTTCATAGGAACCTGAGCTGCAGAGATCCGGCGGGTCATGTGTGCGAGATCTGATCCGGGGGCCCAGGCCGATCTTCGGAAAGCAGAGGACGCCCGCCACCGGAATCGTCGGATATCCCACAAGTGTCTGCTCCTACGCCGCAACTTTTTGACTCTTCTTCCTGTCCACTGCCCTCTTCAAGAGGGCTCTGGCAGAAAAACTGAGCTGACCTGCGTGCCCGCGGGGGCAGCGGCCACGGGGGCCGCGAGCAGTGGCGCCGAAGTTCCCTCAAGAAGACCACAGCTCCCGCACTGTCCTACGGTCCTATACAGCGCCCTAGCAAAAAGCTTGCTGAGAGCGGTGCTGCTGGGGCAGCTGTTGGCGCAGCTGTTGGCGCAAGGAGGTTCCCGGCATCAATGGTCTGCTGAGGCTGCTGGACTTGCGGGGCCTCAAGGGGCAGAGCAGACATGACTTGGGATGATCCCCCTGAATACTAACAGGATTTCAGTACCCCCTGGGAACATCCCAAGATGTGACCATTTCCATGGCACTCTGTGCTGCCAGGAAGAAATGCTCTGGCCTGCCTCGTTTGATCCGAAGAGAAGGCTGTCGGTCTCGGCAACGCCGGCACCCTGAAAAGCTGTTCTCTCCACTTCCGGCGACCGAAAAGGCTCTCCCTCGGCCCCCTCAACCTCGGACGTCTCATGTGTCGCGGCCTGCTGCCCCAGCTCCGTGGCAGCAACCAGGCTTCCTGCAAGCCGCCGTTCCTGGAATCACTTGCGCTTGCAGAAGCCGTGGCAGCTGCTGCTTCCGCACGCATTGAGACGAGATGCGGGGACGAGGTAGGTGGTCACCTGCTCACCCTGAGCTGTCGGGCACGCATCCACACCTCGGCAAGGCGGCTCACAAACGCGCACGATGGAGTCATAAACCCCCTGGAAGCCCGCCATACACATAAACCCCCTATCAATCCCTTTTATCAACCCTGGGCTTCTGTGTATCTTCAGTGTAAGCTCGGGGCAAACTTGCCTCTGCAAGTTCAATCCACCCTCATCTTGCGGAAAGAACACGAACTTCCTCGGAAGTGCCACGGCGACAGCGGGCAGTTTGGGAACTCGCCCTCTAGTTATTCTTTGCTTAAGAAACCCCCCATGAATATGTCATACTATTCCTCATAAGGGCAATATAGGGATCAGTTTTGTACTTTGGGGTTCTTAAGCAAGTAGTAGTCTACCGGGTTACACCGGGACCCAGACTCGACGCATTGAGTGCCCTGGTAGTCCGGAAGGGACTGCAGCCCTGACACTGAAATCAAAGACCACCATGGCACACCAAGCATGACAAGCAGGCTCTCGACTGTTGTCGTGCAGAACCCGTCCCTCAAGGGCCAGGCTTTGAATGTCACCCTGCGAATAGGCCGTATAGATGCAGAAGCCCAATCCGCCCAGCCTTGCTGCAGCTCCGATGCCTAAGTCGCCTTGCGTTGCAGAAGTCACGTGACAGCCGAGGAGCACAGCCGCGAAGGTCAGAAGGCAGCAGCAATCCGTGCAGCTTCCTCAACAAGCACAGCTGTTCCCGACCAGGTACCCCTAAACCCTAAACCCTAAACCCTAAACCCTACACCCACATTCCTGCACCACTGGGGGGCCGGCTTTGAACATCCAAAGGGGTCCTGGCCAGCTTGCCATCCTTCGAGGTGAGCGCGGGTGATTGTACTAAGTACGGTATTCTGCCACCATCATTAGATGGCGATAGAAACAAAAGGTTATATGTGTATATAAAATTATACATATATATATATATATACATATGTATATATGTGTGCTACTTTTTATACGGCCACTTCTCTAAGATCTGGTCCCTTTTGTTTGGGGGCCCTTGTTCTAAAAAAATACGGCTCCTACTATTCAGGGCAGCCAAAAAGGGAACAGAAGTCAGAGAACTGACCATCTTGTTATATAATTCCAAGATTGTCTTGTTATATGCCGGCGGCATATGATTGCTCGGCCGAATGGACCCTGCCTGGACGATCGGCATGGCGCCAGTGCAGGAGGAGAAGAACGCAAGGTTTTTAAGATTCCTATTCGCCTGGATGTATCCTGAGGTTCACTTCACCTGCGCTCACTGATGCCCTCATGCTCCTGCCATGGATAGCAGACATGTTCGTCGCTCTTGTGCTTGCATTCGTCCGCAAGTCTGAGCCCACAGAAGCGCACGGCTTGCGACTGACACATTGCGACAAATCTTCGCGACACTGAATCGACACATCCTGTTTGGGATGCTCCCCCTTATGCTAATACTCCTGAAGAGGGATTATACTAGGCCGTACTAGAATCCGTACTAAGGAGCTGTTAGTATAAGGGGGAAGCATCCCAACATCCTGAGATTTTCTGGGCCCACCACTTGGAGGACGTGGATATGTTGCCAGAACCTGGGGCTTGTTGCATCGACTCTCGATCTCGGGAGCAGTGTAGAAAAAGAGCCCTAAACCCTAAACCCTAAACCCTAAACCCTAAACCTGGTCAAGCTCTACGCTACGACGTGTTGAAGAACCCCCAAAAAATGAAGGATAATACTCCCCATACTGCCCTTAGAAGGAAGATTCTCTTTCGTTTTTGTTTGGGCGGTCGGGGCGGTGGGGGTGCATTAAGCAAATAGTAGAAATCTGAGCTAGGTGCCCAAGACAGATTCAGGGCACCGCAGTTCTCACCCCAAACCCGAAATCCCAAAATCCAGGCATTGAGAGGACAAGATCCACAAGCCATGACTTGGGGGGGGCGGTTGAAACTTAGAGTCCTTCTTGGGTTCCTTTGAAAAGCAACTTCTCTAAGTTAGGGCCCCTTTTTGGGGTCCTTCTTATACGGCGGCCCCTCTTCCATAGGGTACCCAAAAAGGGACCCTAATTTAGAGAGCTGACCATATCGGTAGCCCAAAAAGTTCGGGTAACCTATCTCCACACATGGCATGGGGGTTTCCGAAAATAGGGGCACCCCTTTGTGGGGCCCTTGAAGGGGATTCTATTCTGTTTGGGGCATAAAAAACGGTGGTACCCCTATTTTGGGAAATAACCACCCTAAACCCTAAACCCTAAACCCTAAACCCTAAACCCTAAACCCTAAACCTTGCCCACATTGCGAAACTGAGAGGTGAGCTCCCGTGGCAACTTGCTGGCGCCCCGGATCTGGCTCACAGCCTGGCAGCGGGGAACCCTAAACCCTGAACCATATTCTAAGGGAACCCTAAACCCTAAAGCCGATAATAAGGGAACCCTAAACCCTAAAGCCTAAACCTTAAAGCCTAAACCCTAAACACTAAACCCTAAACCCTATTGTAGGACTTTGGGTCAAGAGTTAGAGTTTAAGGCGCTTTTAAATGACTCCTGTGGCGGAGTCCAGACCTGACGAGCGCAGGCTTAGGATTTGGGATGGGGTCTCCGTTTACCCCAAGCCCTAAACCCAAAACCCTAAACCCTAAACCCCAAACCCTAAACCCTAAATCCTGAACCCTGAACCCTAAACCCTGACCCTAAACCCTAAACCCCAAAGCCCAAACCCGACCTCCGCAAGCATCATGAGTCGAGACAGGCCGTCGTCGTAGCACAGCACCGCGACCTGGCCGCGCCGCGGGCGCGGAAGCCCTTAGCCCTTTTCCCATGTAGAGTTAGGGTTTAGGGTTTAGGGGTTCAGGGTTGAGGGTTTAGGGTTTAGGGGTCCCCCTACTATGCCCCTAAAACATCGACAATCCTTCCTGTACGAACCCCCCAAAAACGGGTACCCCGATTTGCAAGGAAAAAAAACCAAGCTCGACGATTCACAGTGGAAGCCGACGCCTCCACTTGCGGAATTGGCACCGACAAAGGGCCTTGCTTAACTCGGTCTTAGGGTTTAGGGTTTAGGGTTTAGGGTTTAGGGTTTAGGGTTTAGGGTCTAGGGTTTAGGGTTTAGGGTTTAAGGTTTCCTCACGGAGCTCTGGAAGAAGTGAAGCACACAGGCGACATGGCCCTACTGAGTCGCCGGCCTCCGCTGGATGCCCGGTTGTCCAGGGCGGCCATCCCTCACAGTCTCTTCTCTTCTGCGGTTTAGGATTTTAGGGTTTAGGGTTTAGGATTTAGGGTTAGGGTTTAGAGTTTAGGGTCTAGGGTCCGAGACAAAAACCACCAAGTTGCCCGCCGACTGAAGTGGACATGCACCCAGCACCGGCCTGCAAGCGCACCAAGGTACAAGTTTGGGGTTTAGGGTTTAGGGTTTAGGGTTTAGGGTTTAGGGTTTAGGGTTTAGGGTTTAGGGTTAAGATGCAGCAGGCCGTGGTTGTCAAGCTGCCGTCCGCGTGAGCTGCGCAGTCGTGATGCAGACTTGCGAACGGTGAGCATCCGACATCTTCCAACAACGCAATATGTATGTGTATATGTATATACATATAAATATGCATATGTATGCATGCATGCATGCATGCATACATACATACATACATACATACATACATACATACATACATACATACATACATACATACATATGTATATATATATATATACATGTATACATGTATGTATGTATGTATGTATGTATGTATGTATGTATGTATGTATGGATGTATGCGTGCATGCATGCATGCATGCATGCATGCATGCATGCATGCATGCATGCATGCATGCATGCGTGCAACAATACTAATAACAATAGCAATAATAACAGTAATAAACAATTTCAATAACAATGTATACATAATAATCCTCATCATCATGATAGCAAAAAAACGATGTGCAAGGATATAAGACCGGCCTGCAAGGAACCTTCAGATCTGCTGCCGGCCAAGACCTGTGATCCAAGGCCGCCCGCCGCACATTCGTGCACATCGGGTTTAGGGTTTAGGGTTCAGGGTTCAGGGTTCAGGGTTCAGGGCTTAGGGTTTAGGGTTTAGGGTTTAGGCTTTACTCGGGGTACTGGGCATTCCCCAATCTAGCGGACCTCAAAAAATTGTACCTTTTTGTCGAGGAAAACCCGAACGAGGTGCCCTTATTTTGGGAAACCGCCCAGAAGCACCAATAGAGCGATGCCCTACCAAGCCAAAGAAAGCTTGCAGGATCTTTCCGGCCTTGCTGTCCTTGCTGTCTTTGCTGTCTTGCCGGCCTGAGACTCTACATGAGGATGTATTCTTAGGGTAGTTTCACGGTCCCTTCATATGGGCCCTTCATTGGGAAACTCTGATATGCCCCTTAAATACCCTATGAAACCCAGGGGCCCATACTTCAGAACCCTTTAAAGAAGGTAAGGGACCATATTAAGGTACCATGTAACTACCCTTAGATGTATGCGCCAGGCCGATGCAGCTATGGCTCGCGCTGGGAGATTCCCTGGGCTTGATAGCCTCAGCTTGCCATTGCCGCTCCGGCGCCTAAAGCCTTTCTGGTTCTTAGTAGAGAAATAGGGAACGAAGTACCTGATATCTCCCTAGAGAACGTTTTAAGGACGATAGGGGCACCGAATTCCCTGACTCCCTACTACACCCTAAACCCTAAACCCTAAACCCTGAACCCACCCTAAACCCTAAACCTTCGAACCAGGCAGAGACGTGCGGAAGTGGGGGCCTTCCGGACGAAGTCCCGCAACACCCGCAGAAGCTCTGCCGAGGTCTTCATCCGCGTGACCTCTCTGAAGTAGGGCTTATAAAGAGGGCTCAGGGCATCACGACTTATGGATATGTATGTGTATGTATATATATATATATATATGTACTGATTCACACTTTGCTTTTCTGTTTGTATTTATATTTATATGTATTTATATTTATGTTTATATTTGTGTTTTAAATATTTACATGTATATGTATACTTATGTGTATATACTTACATGTATACTCACATTCAGAATTATATTTGCATTTACAGTATACTTATTCTTAATCTATTCTAGGGGGCTTAAGTAGGGCTGAGCCCAAGGACCCTAGACCGCCCAACACTCTAAGAGAAGAGCCAGGCCTGGATGCGGCCCGCGGCGTCGATGTGATACCTGGAGCGCCGGAAAAAAGACACACCCGAGTGGAAAAGAGAGGACTTCGGGTTTAGGGTTTAGGGTTTAGGGTTTAGGGTTTAGGGAATTTAGGGTTTAGGGAATTTAGGGTTTAGGGAATTGAGGGTTTAGGGAATTTAGGGTTTAGGGAATTTAGGGTTTAGGGAATTCAGGGTCCCGACCTCCGCTTCGGCTTTCCCTTTTCCAGGATGACGGTGTCAGGCACCAGGAATCCGAGCTTGCCTTTCAGGACAGCGCTCCAAGTTCCGGATTCTGCAAGTTCTACCCTAAACCCTAAACCCTAAACCCTAAACCCTAAACCCTAAACCGAAACGGGGCCTTGCAGAGATCCCGGGTCAGGCACCCAGGTGCCATCGTAGCTCACGCTTCCAGCCACTCCGTGTCCTGGTCGCAGGACAGGTTGCAATGCGTGCACAAGCCCATGCTCCAGCGGCCTTCACTGGGGACGATCTCGGAGATCACCTCGAGAGCTGGCGCGTGAGTACTCCCCTCCCCCAATATTAAACCCCCCCCTACCCCCTAATATTTAAATACGCCCCATTTTAGCTATATTATGGTATATTGAGGGCTTTTCATATATTAGGGGGTAGGGGGGGGTTTAGTATTAGCGAAGCTTGAGGAGTGGCAGAGAAATGGAGCCAAGCTGCCCGAATCAGCCAGGTGTAGTCGCGCTTGACAGTCTGCACAAGCCATCGCACAGCCAGATACCATCAGGGCCCAGAAAGCCCTGAAGCAAAAACCTGAGAGAAAGAAGCCTTGAAGCTGCAGATTGGGCCTGCACTCCGCTGTCCGGTGACACCGGACGTTGGTCGCTCCCAGCCATCTGGGGGTACGCAAACAACATGAAAGAAGCTGAGATTCCGGTTTCAAGTGCGGCCACTGCACCTCCATGGCCCTGGCACGTTGGGCCGGGTTTGGCCTGCCACCCAATATCAGTTTCTGGGAACATCGGGGAGACATCCGAAACTGGTGAGTGAGAGGTCAGCCGCCTTCGGCCGTGAGGGCTGCTGGGCGGAAGACGGGCCTTTTCCGAAGGCTGCATATGGAGGTTTACGAACGTAGGGGACCCCTACAGTAGACCCGCGAATAATAGGCTCCGCTTACAAATACGGACCCCAATAAGGTACCCCCCAATTTCGGAAACCCCCAAAGGAAACCGTTGAAACGTTGCAACAGACATAGGCACATCCCAGGCCTGCGGTGCGTGTGTTGCAAAGGCATCGAGTGCGCCTCAGCAGCTGAAAGCGATGCCCCCCCTGTGGTTTCTTGTGAGGGTTCGTCGGCCACGGAACTGGGCCACTGGAAATCAACTCCTCTAGTTGCCTGCTGAATCTGCCGAGCCCATCGCTACTAGCAGACTTGGTCATTGGAGTCACAGGAGGCAGTGGCCAATCCTTGGTATGCCCGAGATATGGAAACCATGTGAGGAGGCCTCGTGGCGCTGGGCGCGTGGCAGGACTCACTGCCGGGCCCGCACGAGCCCTTGCTGCCTGGCAACGTCAATGGCAATGCTAGCGTGATAAACCCTGCCACGCACGCAGCAACTGAACACGAAGCCACTAAATCAGAAACGCAGCGAACTGGCAGCGACCAATGTTCCATGCTGTCTTTTTCTTTCTGCTACCCGTACTACCCCTCGCGGTCGTTTGGGGGCCGCTCCTCTGGAAAAACATCGCAATCCGGAAACACGACTGCATCCAACAGTTCATCGTGGGGCTCGCAGGGCACTTCCTCTTGGCGCTGCTGCAAAAGTCCCAAGCCAATGGTGCGTAAAGGCCGGCTTCCGTCTGGTCGCTGCTTGGCGCGCTGCACATAGCGATCGTAGAAGCCCATGCCCTGGCCACAGCGCCGTCGAGCCAGGTCCAAAGCAACAGCCGGGACCAGCATCAGGTCCAAATCCCATGGATCCGCTCGGGGAAAATGCTCCGGGGGCTCAGGGATCTTCCACTTGGACAGTGGCAGCGCTGCTGCCTCCTCCAAGCTCCTCACCTCGAAGAACTCCATCCATCCATCCCCCATCACACGAGGGCAGAACACCTGCTTGCCACTCGCGTACGCTTGCTGCAAGACGGGCCCAGTTCGAAGCTCTCCCATGGGCATCGCGAGAAAGACACCGATCTTCTGGCTCGCGGCGAAGAAGCTGCTTCGCACCAGTCGTTCGCAAACAGCCTCGCGGAGAAGCTACTGACATGCCAACAGAATTGCAAGACGAGCCTGAATGACCCTGGCAGCAAGCGTGTACATTAAGCCTTTACGGCCATCCCGCCTCGCTCTGGCGGTTCAGCTCTGCGTCATCTAGGATCTTCAGGCTAGCGCGCACCTACCATGAACGTACACTCCGCTTCATGTACTTGCCTTTTTTACGACCTGCCCTGTGAGCCTCATGTCCCTGCGACCGCGCCTGCTTCCGAAGGGCAACTTTTGCCGCAGAGAGTGATGAAGCGGATGCGCCCAGCGCCATTCAGAGCTTAGGTGCCTAACAGTGCTTCTCTTACAGGATCACTGCCGCTGCGCCTTTGACAACGTGAAGTCGAAACTACGCAGACTCTTTTTGACTTCAGTCAGAGCCCGGGCTTGCAGGCCGAGTCATCACAGGTGCCCTTCATGGGATCCGATACACTAGTACTACATACCCCGCCCGCCCCCTTCCACTTCACTATGCCCCCCCAACTCGAACAAGCCTCACCAAAGGCGAATCTCAAGGTTACTTGGGCCCCTGAAGTTCAAAAGCGGAGTGGGGGTATAGGACCTTAGAGGACCCCCTAAACCCCAAACCCTAAACCCTAAACCCTGACGACTGCTGGCCTGGGCGCACTTCTGACAGCGACCTGAGCTCCAACTTGAGATCGGGGCTACGATCGCTAGGCAAACGCCGGGCAGCGAAGCAATGCGTTTTCGAGGGATGAATGAGCAGTGCGGATGCGGTTTTGCGCAGCCGAGCAGAGGTTGACCTTATACTGTAAACCCTAAACCCTAAACCAAAAAGTCGGCGTTCTTTTTCTTCACCCCCCTGGTAAATTCTTGACTTGAAGCAAGCCTAGACACCCTAAGTCCCAGGCCCAACCCGGCCAGCGTGCACGCACGTGGGTCGGCGGATGAGGAGGGGGGGGGGGGTGGGGGGGAGGGGGAGGGAGGCCTGACTCATTGATTTTCATACCAGTTAAGGGTCGGGGTCGCTTGTTGACCCACCTGAACACTAAAGAGAAAAGGTTGTAAACGACAACTCTCGCGGGGGTTATGCAGCGCCTGGTTCCCCCCATTGCCTCCCTACCAAGAACCAGAACCAGTCATGCTTGCTGCGTCCCATTTTTGGAGCTCCCGCCTCGCTTGCATGGGTTCTTTCGGCTACGAAGCTTGAGGGCTTATACGGGGTCAGGGCCCAGGGCTTAGGGTTAGGGTTTGGGGTCACCCTCCCAAAGAATCCCACCAAGATCAGGAAGATGAAGGGTTCATTACATTCGCTGTGTGTGTTCACCCAATCCCAATCTGTCTGCTTTCGATATAAACATGTGTAAGCCCCTTAAGCCCTAGGCCCTGAGCCCTAAACCCTGGGCCCTAAACCCTAAACCAGAAAATCCTTAACCCTAAACCCTGAACCCTAAACCCTGGGCATGCCCGTGCCCGCGAGAGGGCGTGCCTGTGTGCCCACGAGTTTTTTGTGCCGGTGCCCGCGAGTTTTCTGGAAGTTCATAAATTTCATCATCTACAACTTCTTTACTCTCATTTTCTTGAAATCTTATGGTGATTTATCTTTCTAGTCTTGTCTCTCACTGCCTTCTCTCGTTCATTGCGTTCATTTGTTCGTAAACTCACTTCATTGTCTTCTTCACTCCCTCACTTCGTACTTTTAATAATTCCGGGGCGTAAGGGGAATATTAATGTTAGCCCCGTATTTCGTTCACAATACTATATAACGGGCGCGCATTGCATTACTTTCATTTGCCCCCCCTTATTACAAAATCATTCTCTTCATAGTACTTCCTAAGGTTCCGAGTGTGGGGACTTCATGGTCGGTTTCGTTCACATTCTTCTTATTCTGATTATTATTACTATTATTGTTACGATTATTATTACTACTATTATTATTATTGTTATTCTTATTATTACTATTACCATTATTACTATTTATTATTATTATTATTACGTTTCATGCTTCATCTTCTTAGCTTCTGGCAGGTGATGGTGCCCGCATGCTCGCTGACCAGCGCTTTGGCGGCCCGGTTGCGCTGCCTGGCTCTGACTTGAGATTGCCCAGGCAAGAGAGGGTTTAGGGTTTAGGGTTTAGGGTTTAGGGTTTAGGGTTTAGGGTTTAGGGTTTAGGGTTTAGGGTTTAGGGTTTAGGGTTTAGGGTTTAGGGGATTGTACACATGCGTGAAGAGAACCGAGCGATTCCATGCAGACGTTGACTTTTCCATGGTGGAGATTGAAAATCAATCGTGTCGCTTGTAAGTCTGGTTTGTGGAGCAGGAGGCACAGTGATTTTCACTGTCCTCACAACAAAGACTTTTGTCCTTGTTGCCGAGCACAGCTGCCCCAAACATTAGCAAAGCCTTCCGTGGCATTCTGCTGGAGCTGTGCAAGAATGCGGCACGCTTTCGGAGACCGCAAAGAGAGTCCCCGAATGGCAAAGCACTACCCCCATGCAAACTTTGGAATGTGGGTGTGCGAACATATCACACAAAGCAGCTGCATCTAGCATCGCAGCTGCACTTGGTCCCACTCAAGAACCGATCGGACCAGGCAACCACAGATGTAGAACGTGCTTAGTCGCATCTAGTCGCTTCTAGTCGCGGCTAGTCTGACGGAGCGGAGAGTCTGAGGCCTTTGCCAACGCAGCCCCAGCACGCACCACGTTCCTGATCTGCCAAACTTTCGCCCCAGGATACCACTCATAGTACACTCATAGTATACTCATAGTATACTCATAGTACACTCATAGTATACTCATAGTATACTCATAGTATACTCATAGTACCACTCACATCGAAGCGAGGAGAAGGCTTAGCAAGCCAGATGCGGCCTCTAGGAATCTCTAGGATCCCTACGAGAGCTTGGTCCACTGCGGCCGCGCAGCCCTCAGGTCGACACCTTGGGTGACTCCTCCCCTGCGCTCACGCCATCACCCTGAGGGTTTAGGGTTTAGGGTTTAGGGTTTAGGGTTTAGGGTTTCGCAGCCCCGTTCGCCAAGCCCGGCGCGGAGCACGGGCTGGACCTGCACCAGCAGGGGTAGAAACAGGGCAAGAAAAGCCACCGAGGCAAAAAAAGCTAAGGGGCAGGAGCCGCCTTCTCTTCCTCAACCTTCACGGCATCCTTTTTGCCAGGAGAAACAAGAGGAGCTGAAAAGAAGAACCATGCAACAAGGGTGCACCTGGGCGTCCGGGGTCGGAGGAGGCTTCCGTGCAAGGAGCCTCAAGCGGTTTAGGGTTTAGGGTTTAGGGTTTAGGGTTTAGGGTTTAGGGTTTAGGGTTTAGGGTTTAGGGTTTAGGGTCCATGCGGGAGATTTGCGGGTGATCTGGCTGGTTCTTAGTAGGGAATGAGGGAATGAGGGCCCTGTGTATACCCTTTAAGGGATTATATAGGATACTCACTAGGGCCCATACCCTTTAAGGGATTCTATAGGGCCCTCATTCCCTCATTCCCTACTAAGAACCAGGGGGGTGATGTCACCAGGAGCCGAGCTCATCGATTCGGCTCTGCAACGTGTGCACTGTGGCCTGCTCGGCCTCAGGGAGTGCAGAGTCCTCAACCCTAGGAGGCTCTAAACCCTAAACCCTAAACCCCAAACCCTAAACCCTAAACCCTAAACCCCAAACCACAAACCCTAAACCCTAAACCCCAAACCCTAAACCCTAAACCCTAAACCCTAAACCGGGCCGTGCGGGCTGCGGTGGGCACAAACGCGCCTTTTCTCCACCCTTCTGGAATCCTGTGCACTGTCGGCGCAGTGACGAGATTGAGGATACACAGACAATCCGTCTGCCACCAGGAAGCTTGCCTGGCAATTAAACAGTCATCTGACAAATTAGCAGGCTGGTCGGGTCCTGAGGACGGCGTTCACGAGGCACTGAGCATATGCCGAATGCAGCATGAGGTTTGTACTACCCTAAACCCTAAACCCTAAACTCAGAAAGGCGCAAGGCGCAACGCTTCACGGAGCTCGTTCGAGCTTCGCATCTCCATGACCCGCCACCGATAGGCAAAGTGCTTTGACTGCGTCGTTGTCAACACATCTGAGCACAACACGGAAACAAGCTTAGGGGCTGGATTACTTAGCGGTTCTTACTAAACAGGGAGAAAGGGAATTTGGTTTCCAATGCATATTGCAGATTGAGAAATACGAATTCAGGGGGATGAAGGTGCCTAAGTCCCGAAATCTCTATTGAGAGTTCATAAGGCTTTCACGACTCACAACAACCTTTCTGCAAGAGAAGGAAACAGACATGCTCCAAGAGAGGGTGGGGAGCTTTCAGCTCCCGCAACTCAGCTTCCTCAGCCTCCGATAAAGCCCAGAGTTTTTGGGGAGGGGCTGATGCTCTGAGTCTCGCCTGACTGCTCCTAAACCACAAGCCATCTCAGTTTCACATCCGTACTCTTCGCTGATCTTCGTCAAGCTCGACCTGGCCCTAAACCCTAAACCCTAAACCCTAAACCCTAAACCCTAAACCCTAAACCCTAAACCCTAAACCCTAAACCCTAAACCCTAAACCCTAAACTAAACCCTAAACCCGAGTCTAGCACAATTGAGACGGGCACCTGTGGCATCTGGACGGCTCTTCATGCAGATTCCTCAGGCTACAACGACAATCCGGCGATGCGCTCTAAACCCTCAACCCTAAACCCCCCAACAATGGAAGCAACAAGCACTGAGCACAAAACTGCTTTGACGCAAATTGTGCCTCATTCTGCCTGTCGGCCTGAGCAGTACATCGAGCATACTCCGCAGGCTTCATCAGAGAAATATGGGGGCTTTCGAAAATACGGGACCCCCAATAGAGATCCCCAAATAGCAAGATTCCCTTTATCATAAGGACCTCAGTAAGGTACCCCGAATCTCGGAAACTCCCATATCACTCGTCCTTCCAAAAGGTGTGAATGGCTTCTAAGGGCCCGACGACCATGGCGGCCGCAGTGTCACCTGACTGGGACGCACCACGTTTGCGCGCAAAGTGGGCTCGGGAAACATGCGGTTGGAACTCTTGCTTTCGTTCTAAGAATAGATGAGACATTCAGCGGGCAGAAGTCAGCAAGGAAAGCACTCAGCCAACACTGGCAGCCCCCGGCTTTACAATGACACAGCGGGTCGGGCGCATCAACAAGGGATCACGCCCAAACTCGATCCACCACTTCTTGCTAAGCGCAAGTTGATCGATTTAGCGTGTCAATTTTTCACTGTGACCTGCTACCCTTCTCCCATCTCGAGCCTGAATGACCAATCCGCCACAGAAGCCGTTGCCTCACATAGCTGCGATGTTTGCGAGCAATACTGTCGGCTTGCTCTCAGCTATGAGACGGGCGGAGTTGCGCAAGCTGACTTCCATAGGACTCCATTGTCGTAAATGTGGAGATTGTGGGAACATTGGGGGGGGGGGGGGGGTGTGCAGCTTAAATAGGGTCTATTTGGAAGCTGAGACTCGTGTTTTAAAGAGGAAATCAGGCCCCAAAACGTATACTTATTTACAAGAGACAACTTCCAAATAGACCCTATTTTAGGTTCTGTAGGGTTGCCAAGACAGAATTTAATTCAATTAATTCAATTAATTCATTTATTTACACTTGGGGAGGTTGAATTAATTGAATTAATTGAATAAATTCAATTAATTCACCCCCCCCTTTTGGAATTAATTGAATTAAATGAATTAATGGAATTAATTGAATTAATGGAATTAATTGAATTAATTGAATTAATTCAATTAATTCCAAATGAGGGGTGAATTAATTGAATTAATTCAATTAATTCAGTTAATTCAATTAATTCAATTAATTCAATTAATTCAATTAATTCAATTAATTCCAAATGGGGGGGTGGGGGGCTCGGGGCTGGGGGCGGGGGGGGGGGCACCATTTGGAAATAATTGAATTAATTGAATTAATTCACCCCCCCCCCTTTTGGAATTAATTGAATTAAATGAATTAATGGAATTAATTGAATTAATGGAATTAATTGAATTAATTCAATTAATTCAATTAATTCCAAATGGGGGGTGAATTAATTGAATTAATTCAATTAATTCAATTAATTCAATTAATTCAATTAATTCAATTAATTCAATTAATTCCAAATGGGGGGGGGCACCATTCCGGGCTCGTAAATTAGTATTGCGGGGAGGCCCGGGCTCGTGATTTAGTATTGGGGGGAGGCCCGGGCTCGTGATTTAGTATTGGGGGGAGGCCCGGCCTCGTAATTTGGAGGCCGGGCTCGTGATTTAGCCCGGGCTCGTGATTTAGTATTGGGGGGAGGCCCGGGCTCGTGATTTAGTATTGCGGGAAGGCCCGGGCTCGTAATTTAGTATTGGGGGGAGGCCCGGGCTCGTGATTTAGTATTGGGGGGAGGCCCGGGCTCGTGGTTTAGTATTGGGGGGAGGAGGATTCCCCAGCCCCCACCCCCCATTTGGAAAATAAATTGAATTAATTAATTGAATTAATTGAAATTAATTGAATTTCAATTAATTCAATTAATTCATTTATTTCCAAATGGGGGGTCGAACGCGATGAGAAATGCGCGGCTCGATTTGGCCAAATTTTGCCGGGCAGCCTCCGGGCAAAATTTGGCCAAATCGAGCCGCGCCTTTCTGAAGGCCCGAAATTTTTAAACTATCGCGGCTCGATTTGGCCAAATTTTGCCGGGCAGCTTCCGGGCAAAATTTGGCCAAATCGGGCTGCCCTTCGTATGCGATGAGAAATGCGTGGCTCGATTTGGCCAAATTTTGCCCGGAGGCTGCCCGGCAAAATTTGGCCAAATCGAGCCGCGCCTATTCATTTATTTCCAAATGGAGGGGGGGCCTCGCCCCCCCCATCCCCACCTCCCCCCTCCATTTGGAATTAATTTAATTAATTCATCCCCCCTTTTGGAATTCCCCATCCCCACCTCCCCCCTCCATTTGGAATTAATTCAATTAATTCATCCCCCCTTTTGGAATTAATTGAATTAGTTGAATTAATTGAACTAATTGAATGAATTGAATTATTTCAATTAATACAATTAATTCATTTAATTCATTTATTTCCAAATGCCCCCCCCCGTGTGCAGCTTAAATAGGGTCTATTTGGAAGCTGGGAATCGTATTTACAAGAGGAAAACAGGCCCCAAAACGTATACTTATTCACAAGAGCCATGTTCCAAATAGACCCTATTTTAGGTCCTGTAGGGTTGCACAGACAGAATTTAATTCATTAAATTCCTTAATTTCCACTTTCCCCCTGGAATTTAATGAATTTAATGAATTACTTCAATTAATTAATTCATTTATTTCCGGGGGGGGGGGGTGGAATTAATTGAATTAGTTGAATTAATTGAATTAATTGAATTAATTGAATTAATTGAATTAATTGAATTAATTGAACCCCCCCCTTTGGAAATAAATGAATTAATTGAATTAATTGAATTAATTGAATTAATTGAATTAATTGGAATTAATTCAATTAATTCAATTAATTCCACCTCCCCTTTGGAAATAGATGAATTAATTGAATTAATTGAATTAGTTGAATTATTTCGATTAATTCAATTAATTCAATTAATTCATTTATTTCCAAATGGGGGGGATTCCCCAGCCCCCACCCCTCCCCCCCCTTTGGAAATAAATGAATTAATTGAATTAATTCAATTAATTCAATTAATTCAATTCAATTAATTCATTTATTTCCAAAGGGGGGGTGGAATTAATTGAATTAATTTAATTAATTGAATTAATTCAATTAATTCAATTAATTCAATTAATTCAATTAATTCATTTATTTCCAAATGGGGGGGATTCCCCAGACCCCACCCCCCCAGCTCGATTTGGCCAAATTTTGCCCGGAGGCTGCCCGGCAAAATTTGGCCAAATCGAGCCGCGCCTTTCTGGAGGCCCGAAATTATTTAAACTATCGCGGCTCGATTTGGCCAAATTTTGCCGGGCAGCCTCCGGGCAAAATTTGGCCAAATCGAGCCACGCATTTCTCATCGCATACGAAGGGCAGCCCGATTTGGCCAAATTTTGCCCGGAAGCTGCCCGGCAAAATTTGGCCAAATCGAGCCGCGATAGTTTAAAAATTTCGGGCCTTCAGAAAGGCGCGGCTCGATTTGGCCAAATTTTGCCCGGAGGCTGCCCGGCAAAATTTGGCCAAATCGAGCCGCGCATTTCTCATCGCGTTCGACGAGCAGCCCGACTTGGCCAAATTTTGCCCGCAGACTGCCCGGCAAAATCTGGCCAAATCGAGCCGCGCCTTTCTGGAGGCCCGAAATTATTTAAACTATCGCGGCTCGGTTTGGCCAAATTTTGCCGGGAAGTCTGCGGGCAAAATTTGGCCAAATCGGGCTGCTCGTCGTACGCGCTGAGAAATGCGCGGCTCGGTTTGGCCAAATTTTGCCGGGCAGCCTCCGGGCAAAATTTGGCCAAATCGAGCCGCGCATTTCTCATGGCATACGAAGAGCAGCCCGATTTGGCCAAATTTTGCCCGCAGGCTGCCCGGCAAAATTTGGCCAAATCGAGCGGCGATAGTTTAAATAATTTCGTTCAATTAGTTCATTCATTTCCAAATGGGGGGGATTCCCCAGCCCCCACCCCCCCCCCTTTGGAAATCAATGAATTAATTGAATTAATTGAATTAATTGAATTAATTCAATTAATTGATTTTATTTCCAAAGGGGGGGGTGGAATTAATTGAATTAATTGAATTAATTGAATTGATTCAATTAATTCAATTATTTCAATTAATTCAATTAATTCAATTATTTCCAAATGGGGGGATTCCCCAGCCCCCACCCCTCCCCCCCCTTTGGAAATAAATGAATTAATTGAATTAATTGAATTAATTGAAATAATTGAAATAATTGAATTAATTCAATTAATTCAATTAATTCCACCTCCCCTTTGGAAATAAATGAATTAATTGAATTAATTGAAATTCAATTAATTCAATTAATTCAATTAATTCAATTAATTCAATTAATTCAATTAATTCAATTAATTCAACTAATT